GGCGTCATTGTCGGCCGCTCAGCGATGTCCAGGCAAATGGGACACTCAGCCTCATCTGGGGCCACTGTAGAGCTGGTGGGGGCAGCTGCCGTGCCAGCGCTTGCTGCTGAGCGCCCAAACACAGGTGTGATGGCAAGTTCTGCAGATGTCAGTGGGCCTCCGCTGCACATGCGTCGCAGTGGTAACAGGAGGGACATGATCCTGAAGTAGTCACTCATGATGTTGCGGTTCCAGGACTTGAGGTGCCCAAACTGCCTGGCAGCCTCAGCATACACCTTCTTGTAAGCGTCTGCCTCTTTGGGAGTAAAGGTCACTGCAAGCGAGTCCATCCACCACATAAGTCAGATCATCAGGGGCACAGCTGGTCCCTAAAAGTGAAGATTTCTTGCATGAAACACTCTTGTCCCCCAAACCACCGAGACTCGATCTTCATTCCAATGAAGAGCGTATCATATTTTCGCAATGTACGATGCACAAATCAATTTTTCATGCCTTGAATGATCACCCAGAAAAGGAACCTCTGTCTGTACAACTTGGCATTCACACCATCCTGTATCAATGGTTCGTGCATCTGTTGCAAAGCAATCTTGATGTGCATGCAATCAACCCCAGTAGGGATCAAAGCCAGTTAAGCCTGTTGTTATGAAGTGAAGCTGCCCACCGCCTGATCGACAGACAGTCAGCTTCCTTGCTCATTACACATACATCAAACACTCAGCAGGCTGTGTTTCCAATCATTGTTGCCCACACTGCACATTGCCCACTGAAGAGATGTGTGGTGCTGGTGTTGGGTACGGTGTTGCCATGTGTGCGCCCCTATTCAACCATGCCCTCTTGGCAGCTTTGATGACTGAGAGATTCGACCAGCTGTCGCACCTGGCACAAATTCTTCTTTCTTGTCAGGAAGCTGCAGAATGTTTTGGCCGCCAAACGTCTGCTTTTTTGTGTGCCTCACCATGCACTTTGACAGCACATAAGACAGGGTGCTCATGTCAGAGGTGCTCCTGAACGACCTCCCACTGCCTGCATTGGAGTATGCCGTCTTAACGGCACTGGTGAAGAACGATGGCTTGTCAAGTGGGTACATGTGGAGTGCCTGGAACTGACCGGACAGGTCTGTCGCATCCGTGTTGATTGGGGTCCCTGTGCACACCCATCTGTGTGTCGCAATCAGCGCCTGGCACGCTTTCGCCTTGGTGGTTGTGCTGTCCTTCACATTGTGGCCTTCATCGAGTATGAGGCGATGCTGGAAGACACAGTGCAACAAGCTTCAGCAATGGGACCCTCTGAAATTTCTGTGCCTGTGGCAGTGCCTCAAAAGATTCACATTATGTAGCATGCAGCTCAATGTTTCGGGGGCCGTAAGGTACACACAAGAGGTATTTTGCCATTCTGTTGTGGTACCTGTTGTCAGTGTGGCTTTTAAGAATTTCCAAAAGTCCACACTGACTCCATTCCCCCAAAGCTGATCTGGAGCCCATGGTTCCCAAAGAAAGTCAATTCACTGCCTTGATCAACCTGGCCAAGAGACCAGGATGGCTAATCCCAAGCGACCTCAGGGCATGGGCATACCCTCGTTTTAGAAAGGACTTCTGCCACTTTCATCTTCAGAAACGTTGCTCCCCGTCTGAGACCATGTTCTGTTCGCATTGCACCCTTTTCCATCCAGCAAGGAAGTGAATGAAGATTCTCAAACAGTGCAAAAGGAGGTTTTGACAAGCAAAACCGCACCAGAAGTGGGAGACTGCATGCAAACCGCTTTGAAATAAGGTCCTACCCCATCACAGCCATCTGTATTTGGGCAGATGCATTTCATGACTCCCTTACTAACATTGTCGAGGAACCAGCAACTATGCAAATGAATTGTTGTTCTTTGCCCTGCAGGTGGCATGTAATGATGCATCAACATTCATGGGTGTCTTCAAAATGGACTTGCACCTACCCAATGAATGCTCAGAAGTGCTTGACAGTTTGCATCATAGTCACTTGCCAAGGTCTCGTACGTGGTGATGACGATGTCAAAGTCTTTAGCCAGCCTCTGAGGCTGCTTCAATCGGTGTCCATGATACATGTACACTTTCAATCTTCCAGCCAGTTTTTCATCTATTTCATCGTGCCACTGGCCCACAAGGGATACAGGACAGATGACTAGAGTTGCGCGGGTTCTCAGTGGTCCAGACAAGCTGGATGACTCCTCAATTTTGATGTGCGGGTTGGACAGCACAAGAGCCAAGATCTCCACAGTTTTGCCAAGTCCCATTTCCTCAGCTGCCAAGCAAAAATGCAACAAGCAGTGTAAGACAGCACTGATGTGTGGCATGGAATCAAGCAACAAGTGAGCCGCTCACAAGGAAACAGAGTGCTGTTGATGTCAGGTCTGTGCATGCACAGGGGGGTTATGAGCCGGCACCAGCAATGCCTTCCACATGAGTTGCACGATATGCTGGTACGTTTACTGGCACAAACGTGCATGTTGTACAGGGAAATGCTACTTGCAACGACTATTGCACATGCACCAGCTTGCACAGCCATTTGCCATCAAACCATCAAATAGTGCCACACTGCAGGTGAACACAAAGCACGCACAGCAAGACTGCACAGGTCCGTAGCTCTAGAAACAAAGTTAACCTCACCAAGAAATCCTCCCGTCTGATTGGGAGGCAGCTCATGCACCAATAGCTCGAACACCGGAGAGTACCACGACACAGTGCCACCTGAGTCTGCAAGTGGCACCCAAAACCAGCCATGGTACCCCATTGGCTGCTGCTCACAGTCGATCAAAAATTTCAGAGACTGCCGTTGGTACGGCAGCAGCTCCACAGCCAGCTCTGTTGGCAGGCACGCTTCTGGACCAGGGCCCGCCTCCAACTGCTCCAGCAGCCCTGTGATCGGGGACCCTGTCCGCCCGCTGTTGTACAGCCACTTGTTCCACTTGTCCTGCCAGTCCCACAGGCCTCGGTACATGGGCGCAGCGGCGCTGTTGCTCAAGAGCATCGCCTCGAGGGCGCTGCTGAGCAGGAAGCCATTCTTCTTTAGTCCGGTGCTCTTGGCAAACAGTGTGCGTGCACGGTCGTGCCGCCAAGCATAGATCTGGTTGAGGTGGCACACATTTAGGCCTCAGTTTGGAGCCCATAGTGTCAATGAGTTGCTGATAATGAAGAAGCAAAGTTGCAACTTTGTGCTGTGAAAGTTGGAGCTCACGTTGGACCCTGGATGGATGGAGACAACTGGACACGGTCAATGTATGAGTTGACAATTGTCATATTGTGCTCTCATACTACACTGTGTATATGCCCTTGGATGACAAAAAGACGGCAAACAGACAAGCTCAACTAGCAAGCACAAAAGTGAGGCAACCATGCGCTGTAGTGCTACTGCCCCATTACTTCGAATCCTGATGCAGGTTTGGCGCCAACATTCGGATACATTCATATGCAAAATCACTGTGCTAGACAGCGAATCGTCCAGAAAGATACCCAAAACAACACATCTTCCACAGACACTCAGATAGGGTCTGGAAAACCCCATGGTAATTAGGCATGACTCATTTGGACAAGAGCAAGCCGCTGGCATCTTTATTCTTCCTCAACTGTTCCAGGACCATAGGTTGCTACACGAATGCAGTGCCTCTCCCCCCCCCCCCCCTTTCTGTTTTCTGTGGGGAACAGAGCTTTTTGATCCATATACTCAAGGTAAGAGGATCAAATACCCAAGAGGTGCCATGGAACCATCTGGGTACTGCAGCCATAAGGTGAGTCCCATTACCCAGTTCTGGTCATGCCAGTAGCCGCATGTGCCTGAAGCTATAGCTGTGGGTTTCTTTTCAGATGCGCATTTGTGACTGCAATTTGATTCCAACATGCTCTCTTTCTTTATTGGCTGACAACTTGAGCCCATAGAGGACATTTTACGCCAAAGAGGGAGTACGATGGACTGGTGCCTTGCTTTTGAAGTAGAGGACCAGTGGTCTTCTAGGCTGGGCATACAATATCGATGGGAAATTGAATTCAGGTGTATGTTCGAAGGTGTCGGCACCAGCTACAGAAGATGCGTGCCAGATCTGCTGTCTGGAAGGTGACTGCCAACTTTCATTTTTGTGTGGGCTCGATTTCTACAACATTGAAATCTCTGAGGGTGAACCAGCAAAACAACATCTGGATGGAAACCCGTTTCAGCACCTCCTCAATGGACTGCAGAGTCATTTATCAAACAGGGCAACTTGCACATCCTTGAATTCCCAAACATAGATGTCATCGATGCCATGAGAAACAAGCAGATGAACATATACACAAATCACCAACTGATATTGATATACCTTAAGGAGGGCAGTTCCATGATCCACTAAGTCTGAATCTTGTTCTATGGTGAGGTCCACAAATACGTATGGTGGCTCCCTGTGAGTGGAGGTCTCTGTTTTCCTCAAAGTGGAGAGACCAGCAAAGTGCAGGTCATGCAGTGCTTTTGATGGCAAATCTTTCAGGTGGCTCTCGATGCGCTTCATCCTCTCACAATCTTCGCAAACAGCTCTGAGTGCTGTGGCAGCAGCAATTGCCCACTTGAGCACACAAGCACCGATGCATCCATGATCCAGGAGACACTTCAGACAACACAAATCATGCACAGCCACAGCAGGCATCTGAGGTCATTCTGAAATGCTGTAACAAGTGGCAAGAGCAACTACATTGATTGAGTTCTGGACCATAAATGGGACGTGGACACTGAATACAGGTGATGGCAAACAGCATCCTGCATCACAAGCCCATGAGGTGAGGGAACAACAGCCCATATTTCACAAGTGCAGAGAGGGTCCAACAAGTCACTGCGCTACAATGGTCGTTTGGCATGCCATTATTGTCCACTAAAACTTCGCAAAATCCAGTCATTCAACTTTACATTCACACGCATTTCTTCCAGCTCAAAACAGGAACCGTTACAAAGAAGTGGAGGCATATGAAGTCCATTCGTTTGCAAGATGTGCAAAATGCAGGTGTGCTGCATTTCTAGGTACCTTCAACATCCACAGTTGCCACGCTGCTGTCAAGGGCAGGGGAGTTGAACTGGTCCAGATCAAAGCTGTCCCCAAGCCTCCTTGGATCCCATTGCACTGTGACATACCCAACTGAGCATGTTACTGTAGACTCCTGGGCAACAGATTTGCAAGCACATGCACAGAAACGTCAAAACATCTACTGAAAACATGAAATCAGGATTTCATTCCATGCATTTTGTATGCTCCTGGCTGCCTAGAACATGCTACCCTGCAATGCCCCAACAGATCACAACAATGGCCACATAGTGCTATTTGCGTGACTGCTACCTACCGTCAAACACATAACGCACCACCAGCGGAACCCAGCGTACAAACCAAGACACAATATGTGGCACTGGCATGGCCAGTCTGTGTAATTGACAACATAAAAAGCTTGCAGAGATTATCACTTGTGCTTGTGAAGTGCTCTCCACAACGTTAACTTGATGCAAAGGCAGTGACTGGGGAAATGGTTGCTGTGCCACTAGAGCATTCTATGAAATCATCGACAAAATAAAAGACAATGGTAGTTACGCATAGTATCAAAAATCCTTTGCTAATTGTACTCAAACAGTTCCATGGTGCCTGTACTTCTCTTGGTGCCTGGAGGGGCAACAACTGCCTTAAGCCCCAGTTGGGATCTGCTGTTGCGAGCTCAGAAGGTGCCATTATTTTGTTGTTGGAACGTTGTGCACATCAGTGTTTAAAAATGAAGCAAAAAAAGCACAGGTGTGCACATGTTTGATGTGCTACTGTTGTCATTTCGGCTGAAAACGAGGCCAGAGACCAGCAGCATTCATGGTGCATACGTTCTGCCACGCTCACAGCCATGGTATGTGACAGAGTTCATATAGTCTGAATACCAACGTAGACGGCTATTCCTAGGACATGATGCCCTTCCCATTCAGTTCCCAGTCGATGAATGTACGTATCCATACAGGCAACCTGAAAAGTGGCACCCTGGTAATGGCACGTGCCTCTGCTCCACCCTAATAATGCGACAGCATCACTTTGATGGTTGTCCTAAAAGGACCTCACAATGCTTATCAAAAGAACACCCCCACCTCACGTCAACCTGGCAGACAAATCCCAGGGGAAGCTTGTCACTAGGGTGCCCAATTTGTGCTGCACTGCAGCACAACCTTGAAGAATAATGGAACAGACAGGCAGAAAAGATGTCTGCTAGAACTATGTACAGTGGACACAGCAGGTTCACACCTCCACAAACACTGCCTTGAGGTATGGGCAGTTGGAGAGTGGCACTTCAATGTCCTTGGCGATGGCCTTGCCATTTGGAAACAGGTGGGGATTGGCATGCCCCTTGAAAACCAATGGTACATCCTCCATCTCAGTAACCGAGCCATAGAAGTGATAGGCTGACAAGGCCAGGCGAACGGCCTACAGAGGTACAAAGCATCAGATCAATATCTCACAAAGTTTCCAGCCAGTTCATGATGCAACGAAGTTCTGGCCAAGGGGCCCCAGCAATGATGTCCACCAAGCCAGTAGCCCAGGATCTTTGGCGCTTTACATCGTTTTGCACTCTCTTGCTAGGTGGCATGAGACTCGCATATCTTGCATCAGGACAAGGGGGTGGGGTGGGGGTGGCGGGGGTTCTCCCACAGTACCTTGTGTTGAAGAGTAATGCTGTCATTTTTTCATCATTGAAATAGAATCACAGCCATTGGAGGTTCCAAGCAAGAAGTCTGGTGCTCACATCAGCCAGGGAGCAAAAATGGAAAAACTTCAGCAAAACTTCCTCAACGGCCAATAAGCACAAAGGCACTCCTCAATATTTGCAACCAGGCATGATTCTGCTGTTGGCGGTATTTCAAAGATATAAAAAAGCAACAAATATTTTGGAAACAGCCGATGGATTGTTGGGCCCTAGGTCTGCACCCCGACAGTAGCTGCATGTATCAGATGAAGGCACTACAGATGGCAAATCTCATTTCCTTCTCAGCTTTTGAGACATTTCTATTTGCTACACACAGGTGGCAATAAGGATTTGCTTTTCATCACAGTCTGCTGAATGCAAGCGAGTTTACACCCAAATGCCACCATTAACACGGAGCTCACCGCTAGAATGTCCGTACGAGCCTTTTGACCCCCAAGGAGAGCACTCCTATGCACTGGAAGAAGCAAAGGAGTGCCAAAGTATGTCCCTTCAAGTTCAAGTGCTGTGGGATCTTTCTTCACATTGGCATTCTCATGACGAACTGCAATGAATGCCTGCTTATTCCCCACGGGCACTCGGTAGGCAATGAAGCCAGGGCCTGCCCCTGCAGTGCCACATCAACAAGGGTGAGGAACAGATGCCATCACCACAAGGACTGAAAACATACCCACAGCAGAAGGGCAATTTGGTGCTGAAGATCATGCACGTTTCTCAGAGAATCTGTCCAAATTTCAGTGTAATTCTTCAGCTGCAGGGCAGTCAATGCATTGTGAGGCAATGCCAACACTGCATTGATATTCGAGTGGTAGCAGTACAGACTTTTCTGCCAAAGCCAAGATTCTTTTAATGCACTGAACACAGCGAAGCCTGCAACACCACCTGTACTTGTGCTGCTTGCTGTGACAAATGCAATGCAATTGCAACAGGTAGAACCATTTTACTGTCTGAAGCATGAACGAAACAGGTGCTGCTTGTGCAGTTTTTTGCAATAAGCACACGTTCAGGCAAAGTTCCATTGTCTGCTTGATCTGCAGTGTGGTGCTGGGTGGACGTGACAGGTGACTTTACTTGAACTACCCAACTGGAACAGCCCATACAAAACAAGCACAGGAAAGGCTTCTTTTGCGTCAGGGCCACAGGTACCACAAGGTTTCTTGGTCTGCATGCATGTCCTGGGGGTTCACAGTGGTCCACATTACTATAACAAGTACATACACACACCAGCACACTGATCTCTGCTAAAGTGGTGGCTTCAGCTCACCCCACCTGGGTAATCTTTGTTGTGCACCAAGTCCAATCTCAGCTCTTGCGATCCATGTGTCACAATCTTGTGGTCATGCAAGCTATACAGCAAGAGGGTCTGATCAACTCGCAGCTCTATGCTGTGCTGCTGCTGCAGTGCCCATGCCACCTCGGTGGCAGTGGTCCTGGAGGCCACCCTCACACCATAAGAGCGCGCCTGGGCCAGCCCATCGAAGTCCATCAACGTCACCCTCACAGCCACTTCCGCAGGCAAGTCGATGCGGCACTGTGGGGGGCATGGGATGGGGAGTAGCTCTAGCTTATCACTGCAGAAATCGGGCATGTGCCAGACAGTGAGCTTGCCAGCATGTTTCTCCACCATGCTCTTCTTTGTGGTGACCCTTGAAGCGTCCGCATATTGGATCGCCTGCCCGCTTATCCCCGCAACTGACTGGCCCTTGCAGACCTGCCGGGACGCAGTCAAAGGATGGCGTAAAGGCATTGAATAGCCTGCGCTCGCAGTTGAGGGCTTCGCATGGCAACATTGAATGGCCAGCAGACAGAGGCAGGGAGAGACAAGACAGCCCTGGTGGGGGTATGTGCGCATCCCAGGTTGATTCGGATCCTCACGAACTTGTACAGTGGCACACGGTGACCCCAGCGTCGGCGCCAGTTGAGCACTGTGCAAACGCGCAGGTGCTGACGGATACCCTGGTTGGGCGGCGCCGAATGCGCAACCAGCAATGTCAAACGGCATGTCGTGGCCGTCACGGCCTGCCGCGGGCTTCGGCATCGACGCAGCATCGAAGTTCGCCCATCCAGATGCCACGCCCCCGCCTCTGATCGCCTCGACGATCCATTCATATCAAACTTCGCCAAAACGGATCGGCGACATGCAGCGCAATCAGCGACAGAAGGAGGCGCCACAGCTGGGGGCCAGCATGCCATCCGAGCACGCAGCAGACGGCGCCCAGGCCCACAGCACCCTCGCCGCAGGGCTCCGCGATTGGCGCGAGCTGCGGGTGGGCAGGCAAGCGGTCGGCTTGCGACGGATGTCATTGCCACGGATCCCCAGCCATCGAGACCGGATCGAACAAATCGTGGTCGGACGCGGTCCGTTAGCGCCCGCCCGAGATGTCTCCGTGCGAGCGCTGACTCCCCGGGCGAGCTGCGCGCACCGCTCCCCGCCCACCTTGAAGGGCAGCCTCAGCGTGCCCAGCTCCACCAGCGCCGGGTCTTCGGACGGATGCGCCGGATGGCCGCCGCACGCGGGCGTCGACTCGCGCTCCGACCCCGCACCGCTCGCCTCGCCAGCCTCCTGCTTCAGGCCCAGTGCCACGGCGAGCTCGTTGAATAAGGGGTCGCCCAAGAAGTCTCCGTCTTCCAGCTCATCCTCCGGCTCCTCCTTGCAGGCCACGGTGGCCTCCCCGGGGCCGAACGCCGCCGCTCCGGCGCCCTCGCCCAGCGGATTGGCCCCCCAGTTCCTCTCTGCGCATGCGGGGGCAATGCGTAAGCCAGGCGCGGCCCGCCACGCAAAAAAGCGCGCGAATCGTGCTGACGCTCCTCCCGGGACCCCCCCAGGTTGCCCGCCGACATCATGGCGGGAGCTGACGACCACGGACGGCACAGGCGTCGCCGAACGGCCCCCAGCAGTGGCGCCTCGAATTCGCCGCTGCTTCCACGGCCTCACACAGCACGAGATCGCGCGCGGACGACCCTTGCCCCACCCCGGTCGCGCAGCGACAGCCTCGGCATCCACAGCGCCCGCCCGACGGCCGGACGCCAGGACCCGGGCGCACCCGTCGCCACCCATGTCCCCCACTGGGAAACATGTCCGATAGAAACCGAAAGGGCGCGAATCGCCACTCCGGACAAACGGCGTCGGTCCACGGCGGATGCCAACTTCCCCCCGCCCCCAACCGCGTCTAACTGCCCCTCCGATCCCCGGTCCCCGCGCGCCGCTCCGGCCACGGATCCCCGCCGCCTCCCGCACCGGCCGAATCATCCAACTTCTGCCGCTTCGCCCACGGCGCCTCGTCCCGGTCGCCCCCGCGGCATGCGCGCTCCGGCGTGGCGGCATCGCCCCTCGGCGGCGTGGGCATGATCGCGTCGGCGGCGCGCCGAGTGGCGCGGAGCGATGGGGGTGGGGTGGCCCGGGGGAGGGGGGGCAGGGGGCGCGCAACCGGAAGCCGGTGGCGTTGGACAGAATGGCCCGGGGTGGTGGGACGGGCCCATTTGGGACGAGCGAGGGGACCGCGGGTGTGCCGGCGGCAGACGGAGGCAGGGTGGAAGGAGGTACCGGGCGCCAGAATTTGCATGCATGTGGGCAGGTCGGCCTGACGGGTTGGGCCATTACGAGGGTCGGAGTACAGGACGCTGGTTGTGGAGCAGCGCAGTATTGACAGCACGGGGGGGTGTTGTTGCTGGAGTGCGACTCCCGTTGGCGGCTGGTTTGGTGGGCGTGGGGGATTGCGCGAGCAAGCCCACGCCTGCGCGTGCTGCTGCGCCGCATGCCGGGCGCAGCATAATGGACCTCCAACCCTTGGACACGCCCTGGTTTGGTGGGCGGCACGACGTTTGGCCCCTTTTTGGCCAGCGAAGGAATGTGGAAGCGATGTTCTTTTGGAGACTGCCGGGCGACGCCAAATTTCTGAAGCACCAGCCCCGGAACTGCCCCAGCATGACTAACGGCTGTGGCCACCGAAGCCACTTCTGTGGTTTGCATACTGATGGATTCCTCCGGCCATCAGGCTGAGCACTATTCGAGGGGGCGCAGCGCGGTGGAAAGTTTTCACCAGCCAATGTTGCTAGATTTCCGTCAGTCGTGGTTGACGCTGGACAGGAGCAGAAAAGGCTGACTACCGCGCTGCGCGGCGCGAAGTTGCCGAAAATCATCAGTAGCCCAGTTGCAATGATGATCATATCATAACGATTATACACAGGTCTGGCGATTGAGTATGTGACTATAGCTATGGAAGACCTGCTATTTCCAAAATGGACGTCTTATACACGGTCTAAGGAGGGATCCACCAATGGAGCTGGGTCATGCACGCACAAGGAGACCTAATGTGCGGCACAGCGGTGGCAACCCTAGCTGGCGACTAGCTGCCAACACAAGGGGAATCTTTCGGGGAAAGTAGTAGGGAAAGACTGGGCGGAGTTTAGAAATCAGTACAACTCAATAGAACAAGTGTTGAGCACTGGATTGTTAAGTCTTCTGTGTGCTATCACCCCTGCTAAGTTTGTGGAGCCCGACGAGCAGGATCACAGACGAGTACCGCAATTGGAGCCACAATAGCGCATCAAAAATAAGAGAACGTCCGACTACAGTGAATACTGGGAGAATCGCGTAGTGCCTTGATGTTGGACTTGCCAGAAGGGATGCTGGCTCAAAGCCAAGTCGATCACAGTGACTCAATTCGAATCTGTGATTCACAGATTCGAATTGAGTCAGGTAGCTAGCCACAGCACCAAAGGCCAGCGATAATGTCAGCAACTAAATAGAACAACACAAGAATCAAATCGACACATTCCTGACATGAGGAAATATTCGACCTGGTATTTCTTCAAATAGTACAGTCGATCTTTCTGCACTCAAAAAGAACGCATGTACTTTCTCGCTCCAAGATTAATTGTCGTCTATTTGAAAGACAAAATACATTACAAGGATGGCCTCAAAATTAACCAAAAGTTCAAAATCGGAAAGATTGGATTCCGAAACCCGTACCTACCCCCAATTTTACCAAATTTCCAAAAGGGGGGTACCTACCCCCCCGTAGCTTTACCAATTTTCAAAAAGAAAAAGAAGACAAGACCCCACTCAGAGGTAAGCGAAAGATAAAATTTGGTTGTTTTGATCCCAGCTATCGAGTTTTCGTGGGGAAAAAACCCTTGATGCAAAGTACTGCCAAATCCTCAGTACTCAATGGATTAGCTTGAAATTTTTATGGTCAGCTCCAAACTCGCAAGCACAACTTTGGGTGAAATTTGATTGAATCCTGATGTAGGTACGATGGATAAGTAATGGCCCAAAGTCATAGACGACAATAAATCTTGGACGGAGGAAGTGTACGATTCTGTGTAGGCTCCACTTTCCTGCAAAATACAAGCAGAAAACGCTATTCACTGCCAGAACTGACGAGTGGGTCGATAAATTGGCGGAAGCTACCGTATACACCGTTAATGGGTTCATTCAGTTTTCATTGTCTTGACTATCCTGATCAGTGGATCAACGGGCGTGCATGATGTGTGGTAAGCAGCGTGGGCACCGCGCCGATGGAAACATTTGAGATAGAGTGAACTCTGATGCGATTTGAGCGCACAGGATGAGCGTTTCCGTCAGCAACAGCGCAATGTACGTTATGGGTGCGTGGTGTTTGGGTACGAGAGAGGCACTACAGACACCGCAGGCCCTGCATGTGGGTGTGGGCAGCGGGGATGGCGTCCGGGCGCAATGACTGAGCATGATGGCGGTGTGTCGAATGCGCGGACAACGGCGTGTGCGTTACTTGCAAGAAGACACGCCGCTGCGCACCCAAAGCGCGATTTGTCGCACAGTACTTTGCGCTGTGGCTGATAATGAAGAAAATGCACTATCCCCCGCGAGACCATAAGTCCACACCAGGCGTGACGCATCAGCCGGCAGACCCACGACGGGCCTCCCGCCCCCTGCCCAGGCCACTACCCCCGTCGCCGCGGCGGCGTCCCCCTCCGCCATGGGGAAGAACCAGGCCTACAAGGCCATGCAGCGCGCCAAGCACGCCACCACCGCGGACGGCCACCTCGAAGCTGAAGACGGATCGGTGGGTGCGCCCGCGGAAGTCCAAACCGGTGGCGTGGGGCCGGGGGGTGCGTGCTGCCGCGTGGGCTGCCAGGGTGGCGGCCGGAGGGGCGCCTCGCTGCGCAGCGATCGGCTCCTCCCGGCTGTCGGTTGCTAGCCGCCTGCGAGTTGGGCGTTCAGTGGGTGGGGCGCGTTCGCCGGCAGACCCCCCGCGGCAGGGGCGCAGAACCGGTCGGGGGCTTGTGTATTTCTGTGTCTCGCGTCGGCGTGGCAGGCGTCTTGTGGCTCATCGAGGGCCCCGTGCAGCGTGCCTGTCGCAGTTTATCGAAGACGTGTGCTGCCAGTGCGCGAAGGGCCCGACGGGGGTGGGTGGGTTGAGAATTGTTGAAGAGGAAGAGAAACAGGTCAAACAAAGGGCAACCCCTCCTAAGCAAGTGTGTGCGAAAGTCTGTGCCATCCCGTAATAACATGATGTAGAGTCTCCGGTGCAAGAGGATGAGCACAGAGCGCAAGCACCACAAAGAGCAAGAAAACATGCAGTGAAAGAAGGGGGACAGGGGGGGTTTTGCGGAGGCTGGCCTGTTGTATCTATGCACCTGATGGAAAGGTTCAGGTCACGCTCCGAAAGTGAAGTCCTGCTGTTGAAATGTCTGCAGAGTGTTGCAAGGGCCTTGCTTCTTGTGAAGCAGTATTATTGTATTTCCTGCAGGTGGATGCTTCATTCCACACTCCCCTGTGGCATGCTGCACGAGTGGCGGCTTTGAAGGTGACAATCGCTCGCTTGCTTTTCCCCAGATATCTTGTGGGCCTTACTCTTGACTTGAGAAATGCCATGAATATCGGCCCACAAACTTTTGAGCATGTAGGTGTGGTGTTTCACATTGTCTGCAAGAATCGTCCAAGGAATGGCTTTCTGGCCCTGGGTGTGAACACACAACCTGATTCACTAGTGTCTGGCTTTGTGTGTCGACTGTCTTTTGTCAACCTTGCAAGTATTGTTGTTTTTGTTTGATGCAGGTGCAACGAATCCCATGGGAGGAATGGAAGAAAAAGATGAAAGAGGATGAAGAAGGAAAAAGCAAAGTTAGAGACGAAGAAGAGAGAGTTATGAGTACGTGCATGCACCGATATGCTGGCCTATGCCTCCCCCTGGATTGCGTATAGTGAGGCAGCTTTGTTCATGGGGACCAAGAGTGTTATTATCGACGTTCAACCAGAAGCATCGATGGAGATGATACATCACATGCGTACCATGTCCCAGTCCACCACAGAAACAAAGTGAGAACTGGTAAAGAGCAGTGTCATGAAGCAAAAACTGCAAAACCAAGGCATGCGTTGTGGCGGTTGTGCTGTGTTACTGCATGAAGAGATCATAGGCCGGGGTATTCCGGCTACTTCTGGTTGATTTCAGTTTCGTGACTTGTCTTCTGTCTTGCTTGTTTCTTGTTGTCTGTCGTGCTGTTGATCAAGCTCTTTTGCAGGAGAGTACAGAGCACAGCTAGATGCGGATCGTGAAGCGAGGCTGGGTACCACGGCCCTTGCAACTGAGCCCAAGACGAAGAAGAGTGAGTGGTATATGTGCGATGTCTTGGCTTCAGGCCCTTGGTGCCTTTTAAGATGTGAGAAGTGCAACTCATGGACATCTAGCTGTTGGTCACCTTTGGCTGTGTGTTTGTGTACATGTGTTATTACTGTAGACTGGCTGATTCAGCACAAACATATGCACATAAAATGAAGGAATGTCTGGAATGCAACCTTGGGATGAAACAACGCATTTGTTCACCACATCCCCACAGGAGTTCCTGTGCCTGACCAGGGCTTGGGTGGTGCAGGGAAGAGATCGGAGAAGGATCGTGAGCGCAAAAAGTCCAGGAAGAAAGACAAGAAGGAAAGGAAGGTTGGTGCATACCCAATGCAGACATTGCCCACCTGCTCCGACGTGTGTGTTGAGCCATGAAAAGCAGGAGTGTTATGCTCTCTGGCAAACAAGATGGTGTATATTTGTAACTGGGTGAACACAGAGCTCATGAGAGTGCACTTCTGTCTTTGAGTGGGGTGGATGGCTTGAACACTAGAATGCACTGCCAACGTGCAATATGTGATACAGCAAACCATTACGCACATGTATTGTTGGCCATATGGAAATGAAGGCATGCTCATGGTGCCAAAACGGCTGGCCTGGTAATGGAACGGGCAAAATCCGCTGTCTCTACAGCAGCGACGCAGCCCTGATGTAAATCCATTGTTGAATCCGCATATATACTGGCGTCTCTTGACTTTACGCAATGCCCCTCACTCGCATGGGAGATACTTGGTACCATGGACATTCTGCATAACTCTTTGAACACTCGGCGACGCTTGACATTGCCTTGCTGTGGCTCCGCGCTGGGAAAGGCACATTTTGTATTTGTTGTATTTCTGTCAAGTCTTCATCCACATTCACCACCCTCAACTGAAGGCGTTGCAAACCAAAAAGCACAATGGAACGGTGAATGGACCATTGAGCATGTGCACAATTTCTGCATGATGTGTCCTTTGCCTGTTTCCCCAGATTGTGGATAAAATTGACGCAATGAATCACAGAAGACGATGTCCACACGCACTGCCCATACATGGCCAGATGTAATATCTATGCATTGCTGACGGTGTACTACCTTGCACGTTATGGGGCGGCGGACATTCTCGTGGTGGCAACAGTGACAGCCCCAGTGTGCTTGGTGCTGACGAGAATTCAAGCCTGTACTTCCGCCAGTGTTTTCGCTGGCCCGTCCTTGCGTAGTCGCCCCACTGATGCAATGATATCTATGCCAAACAGCAGCAGCACCCAGTGTGGAACGGGGACCTGCAGTTAACTTTCTGGTCCTGTGTCTGTCGCAACAGCACAAGAAGAGGAAGAAGCACAAAACCAAGCGCTCCAAGTCAGTGTCCTCTTCTGAGAGTGGCCCCAATTCGGGGCAGACTTCCAGTTCCGACGGTGGCCCAATCCGGCTCTCAGAGTACCTCAATTCTTGATGGCCGACTCGATTTGTTGTGTGACGTTCTCTGTTCACCGATTTTGCGGACTTCATCATTGGATAGTGGGCCGAGAGGCCCATTGTAGCTTTTGTATGGACCGGACACAGCTGCCAGCCATTAGCCGCTCCAGTGTTGCGAACGCTGTGGCGGCATCTAATCAAAGCCATCACTTCACAAGGGTGGTTTGCGGACAATGTAACTATGTACTCTATTCCTTGGTTCAATTCCAGGGTAGCGTCTCCTGTTTCGGCTCAGTGGTGTTCGTGGTCCTGGAAAGATGAGTTGCGACACCCTCTTCCATGAATGAGCACCCGTTCCCGTTGTGTGTAGTTGCCTGTGTTCCGTTGGAAGAGCAGGGCTCCACATGTGTGTAAATAAAGAAGTATCGCCTTGCACTGCGCACAGCCAGCCCCCAGGAATCGTGGCCAGCAAGGGCGCGGAAGCCATGTCGCATGAGATTCAAACAAACGGCTCCCATTATGCTCCGTCTGTCGTCAATTGCTTGGTTTGGTCACATCAGGCCATCGCGGCCAACGAACGTACGCCAGTGTGCGCGGCTGATTTCGAAATTTCTTCACACCAGCGGATTCTACATGCAGAGAGTAACAACGATGCAACAGATGCAAAAGCAGCAGTTAATACTCTGGCTGGTGGAGCATTAGTACTGCACGCTTCAAATCTAGCAAACGTGGCTTCCAACGCCCGACTGAGGTCCCTTGCCTCACAGTTGTCGCTTGGGGGTCAGGGGGCAAGCACCACTGCTGCACCTGCAGGCAAAACACGTTGTGCCCCCGCATTCTCAGAGGCCCAGCGTCAGCCTTAGTCAGGAAGCCGACCGATGCCTCAACGTCGTGTCTGCTGTCCAGTGGGAGCAATGGCCCCCCGTTATGCAACTACAGTCAAATGCTTGTTTGTCGTACATGCCATGTACATGTTCCTGTAGCAAAGCCCCTTCATTCCCGATCAAGGGCGTGGCGGCCACAGCACTCCAACAGTGCTTGCCACGTGTTCATTATGTACTTTGCGCTCGTCACCGTCCCAATGTCATGGTTTCAGCCCAATCCCTGTAACTGTGCTTGCTTGCGCCACTTGTAGACCACTCATACTCTGCACAGACAACACCAACTCGTGCGGAGCAGATTGGTGTCCAGTCCACAGTGCCCCGGTCGTGCACGTCCATCGGCCACGGCATGAGGCACACACACGCATATCATCACAGAGACGGAGTAAGAATGCTAAAATGGTTGTTGGGAAAAAGATATACCCCAAATGGCCCTATTCTGTGCCCCCAAGCTGCAAGCAGATATCTTCCCCAGGGCACAAAAATAAGAAGGCTTGCATCGGCCTGGCCACCTGGCGGAGCCTGGCCCAGTATCACGCCGCTTCGCAGAACACCAGACGACTCCCCTCTTTGCCGCCCACGTTGTACCGTTTCTGGTCGGACATCACGGACCGCGTCTTGCGCATGGACGTCGCTGGGCCTGGCGGGCCTAACTGCCCCGTTCGCCGATAGCGCGTTCCACACGCATTGCACAGCACAGATTTCATCGGCGGCCCTCGTCGCCACTGCGGCGATTCTGTGACACGACACAATAACATCAGTGCATATCGGGCGCTCCAGGGGTGCCCATATCCTCGCTCACGAACCTCTGACGTCCCAAGCACCTCCCCCACCCACCCGGTCTCCTCCTCAAGAAAGCAAAATGAAAGCAGTTGGGCGCAAGACTGCTGCTGGCAACACATTCCCCTGAAAACAGTTTCACGGCGTCGACACAGTCGACACAGCAAGCAGTACAGGGCAAAGCGCCGCCAGCGTCAATACACATTCATTTTTGTCAATGATGACACGTGTGATCTTGAATTCGTCGTCTACGAAATCGATCCGCCGGCGGCGGGGTGGGGAAGACGTTCACAGTTAGGGGTTCGACACTGTGGTGCCCTTGGCGGACCGTCGTGTGCGAACCGACAACGAAGAGGACAAGTCTCATATGACCAGGCACCGCATGAAAGCGGGTGGTTGGTGGGTCCAGGCCGGCGCCCCGAACCATGGCTCGCGGCGGTGACGGTGCACAATGAGCACCAAGCGCCAGTTTGGGGCGCTCTGGTTCACCGGGACCACCGCACCAGCCACCGCAGCGACGCCTGTTTCGAGTGCCCCCTCAGGACCACTAATGACGTTACTAACGTACCCTCAACATCGTACATGCGTCAACGTCCACCCTTGTTGGCCTGCGCGTCAACGCAGCTGATGCAAAGCCGAAGCTGGCGGCCAACAGGCGCAGCCAGACGTGCGCGCAAGACAGGAATGACGGATGCGAATCTGGGAGCAACCAACGGTCCATAATGAGCCCGCTTGGGGGCCAGAACGCACAAGGGCAGGGTGCGGGCGCACGGGGGTTAGAGCCAAATCGCACAGCTGGCCACCTGGAACAAAGGCCACGGCGTCCAGGAAACACGGGATGGGGCGCTGGGAGGCGGAGGAGAAAGGCAGCGGCGTGAAGGGGAAGGGAGGGTGGGAGGGGTGGGCGTGCGTGGCGTGCCGGCGCGCGAGGTTGAGCTGGCGGTTCTCAGGGTTGTACCTCGACAGGCAGCCACCAGGCGGGTGGGATGTTTCGGGATTGTTCCCTCGCCATCGACTTGCGCAAAAGCAGTCAGCGAGGGTGGGCGGCGGAAAGCAGCAGGCTCCGAAACGCAGTTCTGCCGGGCCCCAGCGGTGGGATACTTGGCGCAGAGAAGGACAGCGCCGGCCCTGCCAAGTGGCGCCTGCGTCCGTATTGACAGCCACACCGGCGCTGGCACATTGGCTGGGCGCGCACGCGGGCCAAACCCGCCGCGAGCCAATCCTACCGCCCAATGGCCACCAACGCCGACGCGCGCCCCGGTGGCCGGCCCCGCCAACCCACCGGACATTCGCCCGAGGCTGTCGCCCAGCAGGAAAAAGCCATTCCTACCAACACACAATTTCCTCCTCTCACACCAATCCCCTCCCCTCACGCCGGCCGCCCCGCCTCCGCGCCCGCCGACACCCCACTCCAATCTGGCCACACCAATTCTCCCCCGCCCCCCTCACACCAATCGCCATCCTGGCCCATCCCGCGAAACAACATTCTCACCGGTGGCTCCGCAGTGGTCGCAGGGGCCACCCCCCCTCCAGCTGCCCCGCCCGGACAGCCCTCCACTCCTCTGGCCTGCCAGCGGCCCCCCCTCCCCCTCCGGGCACGTCAGCAGGTGGCCGTTGCCGGACAGCTCCAGGATCCGCCCCAGCTCCTCGGCCTCCTTGTCCGTGGCCAGCCGCAAGGGAGCCCCCGTGCTCTCGTCCACCCGCGCCAGGCAGTACAGACCGGCGTCCGCCTGGCCGAGGTCCGCGTCATCGATCGCCGGCCCCGGGTGGCCCGCCCACGGCGACGGGGCCTCGGGCCGCCCGGCCTCCGGCATGCCGCCCAGCGCGTCGGCCAATGGCAGGGACAGCGCGTGGCATTGCCTCAGCAGGTTGGCGCACTGCATGCCGGGAGGGGCGCGGTGGGGCGAGCTGCGGCGGCTGGCGTCACGCGGCCTGGCCGTGGGGTGGCTGCGTTGGGAGCGCGAGTCGGCGGGGCTGTGCGGCGGGGACGGAGGGCTGGGCCAATGGGGTGCGGGCGCGTATTTGTGCGAGGGCGACCCGGCGGCAGTCGGGCTGGGCGGCAGGGCGGGGCGACCACGCCGCTGGGACGGGCTGGGGCGACCTTTCATGTGGGGGACGGAACTAAACTAACAGGTCGGCTTTTAGGTCGGGGTGACCGACGGCGCTGCCCGTTCTTGTGTGGGGTTGGGCGTGTGCTGACTGACGATCCCCGGCTCCTCAGTTGCGCAGTCCGATCGCCTGCCGGGTGAACGGGGCGCGCCCGAGAGCAGCCATGGCGGCCTTCCTTCGTGCCGCGAGGGGTCTGGGGGAGGCGGCGCGCGGGATGGGCAGGGCGATGGCATCCGCCGCCGTGCGCGAGAGGAAGGTGGCGGTCCTGGGCGCGGCGGGCGGCATCGGCCAGCCGCTGGCGCTGCTGATGAAGGTGCGCGGCGCGCGTCCCGCACATCGGACGCCTCTCCCCGCGCTTCCGGATTGAGATCCAGGTGCAGGGGCCCGTGGCGATTGATCTTTGATGGCTGGGGGGCGGGGAAGGGCTGATCGCTGGGTTGTTATGCTTGTCCATGGGCAGATGAATCCGGCCGTGACAGAGCTGGCGTTGTATGACATAGCCAACATGCCCGGCGTGGCGGCGGACGTCAGCCACGTGAACACCAGGGCCCAGGTCAAGGTGGGTGGTTGGCGCCCACGCGCGAGGTGCGCCCGGAGCGCTGGGGTGGCGCCTGGGCGACCTGCGTTTTCGAGATTTGTCAAAATGACCGTTGCATGGCGTTGATTGTGCGGTGCGATGGGCGCTGGAGGCCTAGGGACGTCAGCGCTGGTGGGCGCGCCTCTGGGGCAAGGCCCGGGCGTGGTTGTCGGCTGCAGCGCGCCGCTCCAATTGCTCAGAGGGGCAAGATCTGTGACGGCGCAATGCGGGAGTGTCCTGAATGCCCTCTGTGTTGTGTGATTTTGCCTCCGCTCAACCTCGTGAGCATCCCCAACGCGTTGCACCTGTGGGTGCTAATGCTGTGCAGTGCGTACCAAGTCTTGGAAGATTGTTGGTCAATCCCCACCTCGGTGAAGAATCTGTGGGCGTCAGGCGTCTTGTGGTGGGGAATGATTGTGATCCGGCCTTTGCGCTTATTGGTTTTTGTGTGACAGGCCTACTCGGGAGATGAGCTCGGGGACTGCCTCAGCGGAGCTGATGTTGTGGTCATCCCCGCGGGCGTCCCCAGGAAGCCGGGAATGACGAGACAAGATTTGTTCAATGTATGTTGCTCGAGGGCGCTCGTGCGTGCTGAAAGCCCCTGAAGCCACTGACGTTGAAACGGGCGGCTACCAATGTGCCTCGCTGTTCAGCACCTTGCACTGCTGCCCATCGCAGGTGAATGCAGGGATCGTGAAGAATCTCGTTGAGGCGATCGCGAAGAACTGCCCAACGGTAGGGAAGATGTCATCAGCAGGCCCCGCGTTGAGTGCCATTTTTGTAGCCTTGATTGGTGCTGTAGCAACTGAGAACAAAGTGGGGTGGGATGTCAAGTGTGCAAACTGCTTGCAGCGTGAGTTCCATGTCTACTTCTGTGTGTGCAAGTCGACTGTAGGAGGAACCCACTTGGGCATCCATGCCAAGACGAATCCCGGGTGGTTTGCCCAGGGTCCATTTTGTTGCTATTAGACTTCTTGGTGTTTATCGGCATTGCCTTGTTGCGCATGGAAGATAGTGATATCTAAAGGGAAAGGGTATCGTATGATGGGCACCATTGTTGCGCATGGGAAGCAACCTTTGCTTGCAAGCAGTTTTGTGATTGCCCATTCCACACCAATCGGCTGGCCTCTCACAACAATTTCTCATATCAAATTGCCGCTACAGATTACACTGCGTATCTACAGTGAGGCACAACATTTTCTTTGCATGGGTGCGTGGTGTGTGAAAGTTGATCTGAAGAATGGCACTGTCGGTGGCAGGCATGCATCAACATGATATCGAATCCTGTCAACTCAACAGTCCCCATTGCTGCTGAGATATTGAAGAGGAACAATGTCTATGACAAGCGAAAACTGATGGGCGTGACAACTCTCGATGTGGTAGGTGCTCAGAGCGACACCTTCTCTCTTCTGGGATGCACCCTTGGTTACATATTTACCTGTTCTGTGCGCTTTTCTCTGTTGCATGCTTTGCTGCGTTATAAAATTTCCTGTTCACCAATTTTTAATGGAAAAGGATTCCAAGCTGCTGGGATGGGGATGTCTGTTGCATTATCCCCTGCATCTTTATTTGTTGTGGGCCAAGAGCTGCTGGCTTCGTGATTGAAGCCTTCGGGGTGTGATCTGGTGCCACGTTCTTGATGAAGATACTAAACACTAGTAAGATTCTTGACCTGAATTTGGCCCGCTGTGACTCCTTCCCTGCTCATTGTACTGGTGCAGCTCGCCGCGATTCTGAGTGCAGACACTCCACAAGCTCACAGTCCAGTCCTGATGGATGATAGCATGCCAGCTTCTTTGTCCTCTTCAAGCAGCAATCATCTGCTTCTTCAAGTGTGGCACACTTGGGAGCTCAGTGGGGTTTTGCCTCAGATGTTGCTGCGCTGGGCGATCTAAGCTGGAGAATGGGGTGTTGCTACCTTTCTCCTTGTGATATGGTTTGAAAACCGTGACATCTGAACATATGGACAGTGGATGTCTGCCAAGTTTTAGCTATTGTATTGATCTTTGTGTGTTCTTTTGCGGCAGGTTCGTGCCAAAACCTTCTATGCTGAGAAGATGGGTCTTAATGTTGGGGAAGTGGATGTTCCTGTGGTTGGAGGTCATGCTGGCATCACCATATTGCCCTTGTGGTCACAGGTAAGTAGTGCCCACGACGTTGCCATATTGTACGTGCCACCGCAACTACGTTGCACTACAATGCAATGGTCTGCAGTGTTGCAGTCCGTGTGTGGCAGCTGCAGCTATGCTGGCAAGCGTCTGGAGTTTATTGAGTTACCCACGTTGCTTGCATATCACCAGCATTGTTACTGGTGTCAGCAGCATACAAGGCATTACCACAGCTGTGCTGAACGGCTGAACCTGAAGGAGCATTGAAGAGAATGATCGGAAATATTTGTACATATCGCAGAATCATGGGTACTGGTGTATTTGGAGGCTTTCATTTTGTTGTCCATTCGAGGGCTTGCCTTTACGTTTTTTATTTTTTTAATTTGGACATCCGCAGCGATAGTGCTGGGCAGGGTCATGCCTGCAATCCCTGGGAGCAAACATTTTGGACAATGTAAGTACCCGTCATCGTCTGTGGGTGCAAGGGCAGTGGAATGTAGTTGGCGATGGCAAGTTTGCTCATGCGTTGAAGTCAGTCAAAAGGCTTGTCACCACTGTAGGTCAATACACCATGACATCTTGTGTGCTGTGATGCTGCTTCCAGTTGTGTTGCCTCACCCAGGGCACCTGTTGTTCATCCTATTTCTGTCCTTTGCAGTAGATGTATCATAGGGCTGGCAAATACTGCGCAATTTTGGAATCTGTGTTGTCCGGTTTTGTGCAGACTCCTTGGCACTGTTTGGCATGTTCGCATATTTAAACTATGCGCTGCAACGCTTGTGGTTGTGATGCAGGCCACCCCTTCCGCAGAGATGTCCAAGGATGATGTTGAGGCACTCACCAAGAGGACGCAGGATGGAGGCACTGAGGTGGTGCAAGCAAAGGCTGGCAAGGTAACGATGAGGAGTACATGCCTTCAGTTGCAAGAACACTTGCATGCGTGCTGCTAGTGCATCCAATCAATGCCCCCAATGTGCGTATCACAGATTGTCTCTCATTTGTGCTTGTTGTTATTCGGACAGTTGCTGCCTATCAAAACTTTTCAAAGGCCATGTAGTCCCAGTTGAGCCAGAGCGCGTCCTAACGGCAACCTCTTTGATCATCCTAACTTTCAGCAACACTTCAGCATGCACTTGCATTCCAAGTGGTGTTCCCCACACAACCACCTAACAGCACCTGTGCCCCTGCTTTCTCTTCCCAGTGTTCAGTGCAACTACATGTCTGTGGTTTGACTACAATTTCTAAGGAGAGAAGAGTGGGTCCTTCCCAACCTAGCACAAATGCAGGAAGCTCCATGCTTTGACAGAGCGTTGTGTCACGAAGCATATTGATTGTGCAGCTCTCTTTTTTTAGAGGAAGAGAATTGTTAAATGCTTGGGAAAGGATACAGTCAATCTCACCACATACTGTGGAGTTATGCGCATGCCTGAAACTTTCCCTGTTCTGCATTCATTTACAAATAGCTGCTGCATTTGGTGGTCCCATATATAACTTTTGATTCAACTTTTAATCATCTCTATTTGCAGGGGTCAGCAACCCTGTCCATGGCTTATGCGGGTGCCCTCTTTGCAGATGCATGCTTGAGGGGTCTGAATGGTGAGTTATCGAAGAATCCTGTTGGTTATAGAGGCACTGCTTGTACAAGTTTTGGGTTGGTTTTGGGGTGAATCTTGATATGTTGCTGCATCCACAGCAACACTGCTGAACAGAAAGTGTCTCACCACCCGCACTTCAGTGAAAATGTTTTAGGGTCCAAAGCTTGACTTACAGATAATCATCTTTGCAGCAGTGGCATGATAGCTGGCGCTGACACAGAACCTTTGAAATGGGCTGATTGCAGAAATTGACTTTCTTTGTTGGTGGTAGTCAGTTTTGTGCGCATTGTCAGTGCATCCGATGCAGCTGGATTGTGCTTCACTGTGTTGGGGCAACATTTAGCTGTGTTTAGCCCTCATTCCCACATCCTCATGTGCACAAGGAATGCCGCAAAACCTTGAAAAGCGGCCCCACTCATGTGCATCATCAGTGTCTCTTGGTATAGCAAAGTTTTGGCGTTGAGTTGCTGTTGTCTGCATCAACAGTGCATGTGCCTGAGAGGGCGGTGTGAGCCACCGCCAATACAACAATTTTTCAATTAGTTAATTTTGGATATTTTTCAGGAGCGCCCAACGTCATCGAGTGTTCGTACGTAGAATCCACGGCTTGTGACGGTGTGCCCTTCTTTTCTACCAAGGTCTTGCTTGGAGCTAATGGTGGGTAGTTGGGCCCCTGCCCCCTGATGCTGGCAGTAGCTGCTGATGCCCATATTTGGGGAGCGAAACATCGCAATGTAGAGACAGTGCAAAGAAGCAATATTATACCAATAGGAATGCGCTATGTGACGACCTTGCTGAGCAGAGGTTGGGGCCTCTGTGCTATACTGCAAGAGATGGAGTTGTCTTTAAGCGCTAAAATTGATTTGCTCAACAATGAATGCAGATAAGGTTTGCCCACATTGTCAGTGGGCCAATTCATTTGGATCCCACTGTGTCTGTACAACTCTTATCACAAACTGTGCTGGTGTCCACCGCTGATCTAGAATGCAGCATGGCCATTCACCTCCATAACTCAGCTCTCCGCACGTGGTGGGATCCTCCGCATAGTTGGATCTAAATGAGTTGGCTCGGTGGCAATTTGGGTAAACCTTTTCTGCATTCGTTGTTGAGCAAATCAATTAGAGCGCTTGAAGACCACTCCATCTCTTACAGTATAGCACACACTTGGGCAATACACAGGTAGATTCTTTGGACAAGATGGAGACACCTTTCGAGAAACGGCCAACATGCAAGTGAAACTTGATGCCCTGCGGACTGGCATCTGGATACCTGTAAGATTGTATGGCGCTCTTGCTACGTTGCATATCCACAACATTTCCATAGCAAATATCTGTGCCAGCAGCATTATCTGCAACACAAGGTTGTGCCAGTAGTGTACGGAGAGAATGCAAACACCGCAGTGTACTTCAGCCATATTGTTTTGAGCGGCTTGGGGGTCGTGGCACTACGGTGCCTGGACCACCCTCGTCCTTTTGGTGATCTCTGCTGCCCTGCAAAACTAGCGGATGATGTGGAAGAGGTGGAGAACATCTTATGCACGGTTACCAATGCCGGTGTCACTGGAATTTGCTGGTGAGGTTGGCATTTCAGAACCCGCTTGGTTGGAATGGAGGACCAGAATGGTGGAGTGGTGAAAATTTGATGGCCTGACCCGTGTCATGTCGCTTCTGCGAGCTCACTTGTGCACTTTGGTGGCCTGCAGGCGCCGAGGAGATTCATCCCATTGGCGACATCAACGAATACGAGAAGGAGGCCCTGGATGCGATGATTCCAGAATTAAACGCATCGATTGAGTCCGGTGTGAAGTTTGCTGCTGAGAACAAGTAGGCACCAGCAAGCCTTGGGCGCCATGGGGCGTTGGCGTCAGTGCACGAGCCAATGGGGCATCCAACGGGAAGTAGGCCTCTAAGCGTTACGACCCAACGCTGTGTTCTGCTCTCCTAGTGTTGAAGGGCGTTCTTTGCGATGATCACACAAGTAGTTGCGGAGTGCCTTGGTTGGGGAGCGTCGCAAGTGTGCCGTTACCCGCCTGACAAACCTCTTGTGCACACTGGAGATACTTGGAGAATGAGCATGCCATGGGTAGCACATGGCGGCCCGCCATGTGTGGGGCCTGCGTGTTGCCACTTTTCCAGGAACTGGGGGCGAGGACACCAGATAGGATGTATGGCAACTTGAAATTGATATTGAAAGGAACTTTTGTGCTCCCCATCCTCTGTGCAGGCAAGAATAAATCCCCAGGTGGAATCTTCGCTCTGACCTTGTGGTGGTTGCTGATTCCCCTATCTCCTTCCCCCTCTGACCGGCACACTGAAGTTCATCTCCACGTGCGTTGCAAATTGGGTGCGCAATAGGCGCGCGCGTTTGGTGTGCGCAAAGATTTTGTGCTTTAGTTCGGAATCCAAAGTATCTTCCATTGTCGAATCAGCATCCGCATTGCTTCGAACGCAGTGGCCACGTTCTGAATTCTGCTTTGGACGGAGAAGGGCCGCATCCGACGTCATTCTACTGCACCTGCACTCAAGGCTGTTACTTTGCCGCTGTAATAGACTGTAGCACTGGGCCCCCACCAAACCCCGATGGGCGCCGGACAACCTGACAGCAAGCAAACAGGACAGTACGCGCAGTCCGTTGGCTGGGTGGAGGACAGCACTTTGAGGGGCACATACAGCGGCAATTGACGCGACAATGCTGAACAAATGCCTCTGGCGATTGACACCCTGCGGTCGCCAGTGCATCGGCCCTCAATTTGCAATCGACGCACGTCGACAACGAAATGGAGAGCGCACCAAGGGCAGGCGTGTTCTTTCTCAACATGCTCCTCTGGCCATCGTCGACACTATCGCACCATTCTGCACTTTTGCCCACCAGTTTTACTCACAGGAACGCATCAGCATTCCTGCCCCATTCCTCGCAACACACGACAAATTTCCACTTCTTGGATAATTTTATGAATCTGCGTCGCCGCAGCTGCCGTTTCTGTAACTTTCATGTCGCCCCAGGCACCAAAGTCAAGTCTCACATCAGCGGCGCGGGCCTGGGAAGAATCCGTGCTGTTCGCCACCGGCCAGATGGCACACACCAGGTACAATTACAGCTTCCCGACGAACCTGTCAGTAGCCCCCGTGCCGACGAGCCTTGACTGTGCCACCATGGCATTCCAGGCATTTTGAGGCGGCGAAACACGCCGCTGCTTGTGATCAATGCGTAATCAAATTGTTCCCCCTCTTCTCCGGGGCTGGCAGAAGGGAGAAGACACCATTCCCAAACTCAGGCACGACCAAGAAACGGGGTTAGTGCACCTCCGCAGTGGCGAGCGCACACCCACCCCGAGGCCCGTGTAAGTGAAGTCGAGCCTACGTGCGCAATTCCGAAGTCACAGCTGCCCACTTGTTGAGCAGAGCCACATCGCTTCCCCCAAGCACAACCTGCACTCCCAGTGCCTCCCTGACGGAAAATCCCATGTCCAAAATTCCGCCACTTGCTCTGTCCCGAAAACAGCAATCATGAATCAGTCGCTCATGCAAGCGGCTGCTGCCTGTCCCCATTTCGCTGCTGCATCTGCACCGTGTCCGCCAACTGCTTGAGATGTTCCGACTGCAAGTCGCTGATGGGGAGCTTCTCGCCGTCCATCTGCGTGAATCCAAAAGAGTGAACATCAACACGACTCTCCACCGAACTTGGATAGTTCGACAATGCAACGAGGTACGGATCCCAGCCAAATGAACGGCAGCAGAGCGAGAGCTGTCTATCACAAACATTCACGCACGTCGGCACACCACCAGGAAACGCTTTCTTGGAGTACTGAAACGCTCGCTGAAACACTTTTTCTGCTGTCGAGGTGCAAAGCCTATTCAACAACGTAGAGAGAGACGCACCAAGGCTATTTACGGCTATGGGCAGGCCAGATTGCAGGCACGTTTCCAGCAAGAACGCCACAATGGACCACGCTCCGTTGCCCATGAGGTATACTAGGACGTTGTGAAGCGACGTCTCCATCTCTGTTGGAATTGGGGTGTCTGTGGTATCTTTTTCAATGCGGTCCCACAAGAGCTCCAACAGGCTGCCCAGGTCCTCGCACAACGACTGGAAGTTCTTCTTCCACGCCACTTCCTGGATGTGCTGGTCCAGGGGATCCAGACCGTCGCTCACCTTCGTCACCACACAGCTGTTGGCGTTCAGCCTTCAGATGGCACTAGCGCGCAACCGTTATGCAAGGGATGCAGGGAACGCAACAAAATGCAGCGACGTATTGACATTGTTTGTTGAAAACGCATTGCGCAACATGGAAGTTGGCTGAACGCGTCCAACTCGATGCAGGACGGCGGGCAGTGAGAGTACGAGTAGACAGGCTCTGGCTTGACCTCAACATGTTGAGTGTCGAGGTAAATTTTGAGGCTGGTGGAAAATGGGCTGCGGTAGAGTTACTCGCAGAGATTTGAGCACCAAACGGATGATCTCCACGTTGTAGAGGCTTTCGTGCAAGTGTGCAGTGTCTCTCGATACTTAAAGGGGCTTGGCATTTCGCTGGTTTTGCCACAATCTGGCACTGCCATATCAACGTGATTCAGAAATGTTCGCTAAATCCCACTTAACATACTGTCAAGACTGAGAACGACACGTGACGCGCCGACAGTGCAAAAGCCCCGCTCAGTCTTTTGATGGCAAGTCCTGACAAAGGATTTGCGACCACAGCACGCAAATGCGTTGCATGTAAGCATATTTTGCATCCGGTTGTTCTCATGCTCTGTCTTGGCGACCTTTGACGATTAAATCACAGCCCTCACGGGGACTCGGTGGCCTCATAGCGATCTACGTTGAGGCAATGAATGCTGCATTTTTCATGAAGTACGCCCTGCACAAATGATGTTGGCATTTGTTGGGGACGCCACCACCACTTTTAGCATTCAAAATTGCCCTCCGCGTTCAAGACAGCTTAAGTCTGGTCCGTGGCTCGATGGGACCATGGAACGTCTACCAAGGTGGAGCGATGAATGACTTCCGCTTGGTCAAGTCAAAGAGCAGCGTATCGCTGCACATTCGAGCAATTTCACACTGCGGCCTGTTCACCTATTTCCTCAGGATCAATTGCAAATATTTATTACTCGTTCGGATGGGCATTGATATGGCCACGCCTTGCTTTACCCTATGCAGGCACCAGTGAGCGCAATGAGCGCAAAGACAACAGGCACCTGCTCAACAGGCAGTTCCAGATATGCGGCTTGGAAATTCACATCGCTGTTCTTGATCACTTCCACCACCCTCAGAAAAATCTGGCGGATATCCTCTGACGCGGTAGGGGGCAGAACCGGGAGCACGTGACTGGCCTCGGGTGTCTCCCCATCACTATTGACAACGCAGATGGTCGTGATGCAGGGTTCCTCTGCCTCGAACGGCACCCTGATAAACAAGAACACCATCCAATTGCTGCATGAGTGTTCCTCTGCCAAAACGGCTGCGGAGTTGAGTCATTGGACAAACTGTCCGGGCTCGGGCCCGTTCACGCCCAGTTGAGCCGCAGTTTCATGTGTGGGGCAACTTGCCTGACAACCCGTCTGCCGTTCCCCACCATGGCCACGTCCGCAAGAACGCAATCTTTATGTTTCAGGACGACGCGCAGCTGTTGATCATCGGGCACCTCGTCAGATAGGTGCACAGTGACACCATTCGTGCACCTTGAAGCGCAAACAGGAGGGTCCAGAAGTGCGATGGAAGGAGCGGTGTTGAGGGCCATCTATGCACCACAATCAAGGCACTCGCGGCAGTCACCATGGGCACCCCAGCGTTTCATGGTATTTTCTTGAACACAGAACAGGCCTCTTGGTAGCAAATAAAACTGCGGGAGTTGTGCACCACAAGTCCTAGCGCAAAGCCTGGCCCCAACCGTTGATGTTTTGGCCCCCTCGTCCAGGTACGATTGTTGCATGGGAGGATGACTGAACATAATTCTGGCCGCAACTGGTGATCACGAACCACTAAGCAGAGTGCATTGGCTCCTTGCGTTCGAGATCGACAATATGCAAGCACATAGCGCAAGAAACTGCATCCAGCTCTTGGCGCAGGAGTACCGACAACATGGGAGAATGCCGTGCCCGCACGTCAGAACTTGCTGAGAAAACTGCTGATTCCGACGGCTCGAGAGGTCTCGTTGTTTTCGTCGAGCGGGCAAATTTGCTCAGCCTTTCCTGTCATCCCTACGTTCGGCGAGCCAACATACGCACATCCACTGATCACGATCCCGTGCAAGGAAACTATCAACATGCAGGAGCAGGATGGCCGCACTTCACTCTTGGCAATTCAGAACATGGCAAGGGAACCGCGGCCAGGCTCGCGTAGTGGGGTCTCGAGTGCTGCGGTCAATCATTTTGGGATCCACATGCAGGCACCATGGAAACAGCCCGCAGTGGAGACGCCGGGGAGGAGGCAGTACATAACGCGTGGTGTCAGTGTCAACGGCAGAACTTCAGGACGTCAAGGGCACTTCAGAATGGCAGGAAGCGTCCGCCGAGCGGGCGTGCAACGCCACGGCGATCCCTTCGACCCGGAGATCACATCAACTCTCAACCCGCCTTTGATTAACGCACAAGAAATCTGCGGCACCGACCTCTGCAGCGCCCAAACGACACGCGCGATCGTATGATCTTCCTCGAGAGCATCCGTTCCCCATGTCTGCGATTGGCGCCGCAGCAGGCAATGCTGGATTCGCGCGGTCTGGGGGCTGGAGCGCATGAATCCAAACACACCAACCTGACGCTGCCGCCGCGGCCCGACCCAACCAGCCGGGGGGAAGGATCGCGGCAGCGTCGCCCTGATGACAACAGGCGCGCGCGGCCGCCCCGGCTGGCGACGCTAAATAGCGCCCAGTCAGGGCTCCCGCTCCTCGGGGAGGCGCTCCCGCGCCCCTCCGAAGGGCCGCCCCCGCCGCCCGCGCTGCGCACCGCTCCTCCGCCCCCCGTGCGGGCCGTCCCGACAGGACCGACGCGTCACTGCCAGCGCAATATCATTGCTCTGGCCCAGCTCCGACGGACTGGAGACTGTACGACGCAGCGGATTCTCCTCCGTCGGCGCCGTCCGCTCCGAATCCCCCACCCGCCCGCCCGCTTCCGGTGCCGCTGGGTACGACAAAATGCCGTCAGGGTGCACTTTTTGGTGTCACGACACAGTGCCACTGACGCCTTTGCGCGGCGTGGGGCCACGCCCGCTGGCCAGCATTCTGTCGCTCGACCACTTTTCCCTTCTGCGGGTCGCCGTCCGGACTAAACGGGCACTTTTGCCGTGTTTACCCGGGAATGGCATTCACACCCTGACGTTTTATCCCATCCTGGGCGTCCGAACGTCCGAACCACGTCGTACCCATGCCCTGGTGTTGGTATCCGCCCCTTCGCTCGCTTCCCTTGGGACTTGATGCGGACATCTGGAATTGATAGGCACGGCCTACCAAGCTACAGCTATGTGGTGCTCTGCAGTGTATCTCCAGGGACCGGAGTCCAGGCACGGTTTTCTAGGCACCGGTGTGCCGCTGGTCACTTTGTTCCTGGTGGAGCCATGTTGAACAGGATAACTTTTGTGACCGAACATGATGCTGGCCAGGAGGCTGGGTCATAGTGCCAGTAGTTACCTCAAACCAGTTCATCATCATGAAATCTTATGTGACAAGGCAAGGAGGTAGCGGCAAGCTCCCCAACCAATTCAGTGTGGGCGGGTAAGACAATGGCCCCCACAAGCCAAGTGGCCCAACATCTTGCAGGGATGACAGCCGGTCATTAACGCCCAGAGACACACATGGCAGCGCGCCTAGCTAGTTGGGAACCGCACACTTGCTGCCCGAGCTGTAGCTTACTCGGTCGAGGAGGGTCGAGGAGGCCTGGGGGGGCATGAGGCGTGAAGCGAAGCTCGGGAACGTGGAGCAGGACCACTGGTGTTGGTGACTTGCAGCAGCAAGGGCGCGCATTTGCAAATGATGTGTGAAGTGTGGCTGTGTGAGCTTCTTCAAGAGAGCCTGATTGTTGCACAGCTTGTGCGCGGTGGATTTGACGGAAGAAACGTAAAACTCGAAACATACTGCCAATGTCTGATGCAGGGGTGTCAACTTTTGTGCAAGCCTACTGCACAAGGTCCAGTGACGTCTACAGGATTTTACATGGCAATATGGCAAAACGGACGTCTGCCGGCAGCTGCAAATGATCAAGATGGAGCGCTGCGACTGTGGATGCCCGTCGCAATCATTAGATCCGTCAGTTTCTGTGGTGCTTGGTTGATCTCAAGTTGGGTGTCAGCGTCAATCCCTATGTTGCATTGACTTTCCTGGGAACCCTGACTGTCACAGCGCCGTTCATCCATTTGCAGTTTTGGCAATCAACATAATCACAACGTAATAAGCAGTGCCGAGAAGGTGGCATGCTGTGCTTCTCGTGGCCCAGGAGATGTTTGAAGAGCATCCGGTGTCAGCGAAGGACTTTGGTGATGACGCCCCAGCCTGGTGCTTCACGCGCAGTTGTAATCCTGTTGATGGGTTTCTGCCAAGGGTGACTTTGGTGGGTTGCGCCCGTGACTCAAATGGCGCAGTTTGAGCCTGGTGCTTATTCATCCCCCGCACCTTGGATTTCTGCCAACGCTAGTGCCGTGAGTCAGTCAAAGTACGGGAAAATAAGGTGCCGCCAACCTTGGCAGCCTTGGATTTGGTGGGCTTTGGCGGGGCGGAGCCGAGGCGGCTATTTAGGCTCCCCCCTCCGTCCCCCTTCTTATCTTGTTTCGCACCAGGCCCTCCTCCACTAGAGAGTGGTGTTCGGTTTAGTTCTGGATAGAGAGGCTGTGAAGGAGTGAAGCACGGGATTAGGGAGCTGACACATGGGGTGAGTCACTATCAGAGTGGCGTCAAGTGCTGCGAAGCGAAGGGCACAGTTGAAGTATGGGGACCTCGGGTACACCGTACATGGGTTTGTGGTGAATTCTGTAATTGTCTTGTCATGTGGGGGGTACATGACTGGGGGAGCTGAGGAAACCGGCAAGGCAGAATTCTAAATACTCAGTGGGAAAGCAAGGACAAGAGGCTGTGGAAGGAAGAACATTGATGGCGACGCGCGGGGTGTGCACACTGCACGAACACTGCACGAATTTGCGCCCAGGACTGGCTGTCAATCCAGAAGAGAAGGGAAGAAAGAAATAATTGCTCTGGCAAGTTTGGTGGGTGTGGTGATTGGTGCCATGAGTTCACCTTCGCCGCGTGCATTGGTCATCCTGTTGCGCCTGGGCTTGCATTGGTGGGAGTATCTGAGTAACTTGGGTGCCAAATTGCCGAAAATTGCTTTCTATTCATACAGTCAGGCCTCCCTAAGTCTGCGCTGCGTGGCACGACGGCACGAGCAGCTGTACAAGGCACAGCTGCGAAGCTCATGGCCACTGCATCCTTGACATCACCACAGCCTCAGTACTACAGTCTGTCAGTGCACGAAAATGAAGGCATTGATATGTCTGTGCCTTGCATCAATACTTCCTGCGCCCATGCTGTGTGCACATCCAGAGCAGCCGTCTTCGAAGATTAGAGACCGTCTGGAGCACCCATGGCAAGGATTGGCGTGTCAGTTTAGTGACGTTTAACTGTCATGCCAGTTTAACCGCCTTTGATTGAGTGATTGGCAACCTCTCATGTGCTTGAGTATAGTATGCCTAAACACATGAGAAGTTGCCAATCAGGCAATCAAAGGCGGCAAGGTCGTGGCGCCTCTGGCTTCAGGCAAAGGCCAGGCCGCCCGGCCTCGGGCTGCAAGGTCCTTACATATCGATTGCTCCAGTTCAAATGTTTGGACACAGCGTCCGGTGGTCAACACATCAAGCTCCCAAAATCCAACTCAGATTACGCAAAACATAACAGTCGCCAAAGGGCGCTTCTGCATGGGTACAATCGTTTGGCAATTTTCTGGCAGCGTTCGTTGGGAGCTACAGACGTTGCAACTGATGAATCTTTGACGTCTATTGATTTGGTGTACAAAAAACATTTCAGCACGTTGGGGATATGGGTGATTGACGTGCGACAGAAAATACTACGGTGTCTGCACCAACGTCCCAGCACGGTCGATTGTTCCAAGACACACAGAGATCAACTAAAAGACGGGGCACACCCTGACACAATGAGTCCCTTGCCCCACTTGTCCTTCTGAGTTGTTCCACCTGCTCCCTAGTGGAATGCAATAGCACTTGAAAGAAAAGGTGTACTGTCCTGTGAATCACAATATGCGTGGACACTAAATGCCCACTCCTTCACTCCTCAGTACTCTTCATCCACCAGCGGCCTCCTGCAGCATATTATGTCAAGCAACCCCCTGCTCTCTTTGGCATCACGCGCTCCTGGGTTCCCATAATAATGCACATGGGTGTCCGTGGCGACCTCACTAGCAACATTCTGGGCCTCAGGAGCGCCATACTTGGATTTGGGCTGGGTTTTCGGAGGGGCCACCTGTGGCTCCAGGGGCGTCACACGGGCTGGCGGGCTTGGGGGGGCATTTGCCTTTGGCTCCTGCGCTGCAGGCTGCCTGTTTGGTGAGGAGGTCTGGGCTGATGTAGAACCCCGTGAAGCTGCAGATGAGAGTGAAGCTTGCAGGGCCGGCGACTGGCCATATGCTGGGCCTGCGCTCCCTCTGGACTTGCTCCGTTTCCTAGACGCCTTCGTAGGCCCAGTCTCCTTCTCGTCGTCGACTATGGGCTGGCCAGGCTTCCAGGGCTTCCTTTTAGACAGCCAGCTCATTGCACTGATCTCGTTGACAAGGTCGTCCATACCAGGCACAAGGGCCATCGGTCTCCCTCCCTCTGCTTCCTTTTTCCGCTTGTCTGGTGCCTTGGCATCCTCCCCCTCTGGTCCGCTGGCACTGTGCCTCTTTGGTGGCTTCGCCACTGGGCTCGGACCCCCTGGAGGTACTGCAAAAGGAACAACAGTGACAGTCTCAGTGCAGGGTAGCAGCGCCCATCCGCTGGCCTGCATGTGCACTGCATACAGATGGGTGTTTCCTTTTGGTGGTCTGAAAATGACATTTGCTTTAGAGCAAACAATGAAATGTTCGAAAACACCTAATAAGGACCCTCATTCATGCGTTTTGTTGGGTAACATTGCTGGCAACTGCAACAGCAATTGGCATCCAGCATCCAGCGAGTGGAGCTGCAATTTGTCCTTCATTCGGAAACACGAAATGGTGGCGAGCGAATCTATTTCGCGAGCGAATTCACGAAGGTTTAGCCTTCTGGGTGCCACTGAACAGCACAGTGGTCCACCATGCGAAGGCACCTGGGCCTCAGGAGGTTTTCCATCCGTGCATTGTGCAACGCCTTTGTTCTGCTGCACACGTTTGCACTGCAAGCCTACACTGCACCTGGTACTGCCCCACCCTTGTAAATCATGGCAGTCATGGTCCACGCTCAAATCGACGAAAGCAAAAAAAACGTTGGTGCAGGCTGGGAAGCCAGAGCCCACAGCAGTCAATGACAAGGTCTACCAAAAACAACACACCACAATGGAGCTGACACTGCTCCCAAGAGTATTTTTTCAGGTAAACCATGCAATGTCATAGCATTTGCTGTCAATCATGTGCAGAAAGCCGCAAACTTGGGTCTGACACAGCATCTGGTTTAATCATTGCTGCTGCACATTGATTTTCACAACAAATTGTGTTCAGGCCATTGGTCTCCATCTCTGCCGTTCCTTGACGAACCCTGACACAGGTAGGTGAACATTTAGGACCTCGAAGGTCAAAGCCATCACAGCCCTCACCACTCCTCAACATGCCAGACTCAGTAATGTAGACACCCATGTCACCAGACTTCCCTTGTGTTTCTTTCAACATCCCACTGCGCCATGCCACACACCCTGTCAAACAAATGCATCACAGACAACACTGCAAGGCATGAGGGCAAGCACTGCTCAAGAACTCGCATGGGGATGTTACAAGCTAAGGAATCAAACAAACAGCAGGATTCGTGCAGTCGATGCCAAGGTGCAGTTCATGTGCAGCTTCCACGTGACTACCACAGTTTTGGCAAGCGGTGCCATGCCTGTTTGCCACGCCCTCTTTACACAACACCACACAGTGAATCCCCACACGTGCGGAACCAAGTGATCTGCCTCACCCGCCATCAGGAGGGTCCATCATGAGAGCATCGTCGCCTTCCCCATCTTCCTCCATGATCTCCATCATTGCCTGCACCAGAGGGTGGTCCTCTCCCATGCGGCCAGCAAAGCTAGCCAGCAAATCAACTTCCTCCATGTCCAGGGCATCATGAATGTGCACATAGTAATGGGCCACTGAAGGAAATTCTGTGTAATCTCTGCAAGAATGATGGATGTACAAGAAAATCAGCACAGCAAGTGCAATTGTACCCACTGGGAAATAGAGACAACATGAAAATGGTTCGATCACATAGCATCACTATTCCCCACAAGCACTTGCTGCTTGCAGCCGAGCCCATGTGCCATTTTAGGCTTCTTGCAGTGAACTCAGGGACTTCCCACCAATCTCTGAAACTATTGATAATGGTGTCAAAGCCAAAAACAGCATGGGATTACAAATGTAAGCCTTAACTTCTTGAATTCGACAATCAACCATGTGTCTCTTATGGTGGTGCTGAAGCATACAAAAGGTGAGAGATACTGTTAACTACCAGTCTGCCAACTGGGGTGACAGATCCCACTCAACTGATGTAGCAGATGTCATCTTCCATGACAACTGTAAAGTAATATATTGAGATGTCCTTTTCTCACCATTCTCTTTGAACCATACATAAATGGAACAGATGGCAGTAAAGACCGCACTTGGACACTGGGATATAGAGTCATAAGGGCTGCAGCTGGGTTAGCAATGCTCAGGGACGTTACACGACACCAGTTCGTGCAGGTGCACCCATTAATCTGACAGCAACCCAAGAACACAGCAGCACTGCACATATTCGGCTTGATGTAAGGTGCAACAATTGTCCATTAAGGTGGCAGTGAACACCAGCCAGTTTATGCAAGCTGCACTTGCTCAATTTCACCTATGCCTTATTTACAACCTTGCCCTCAATGCCATGATATGCAAAAGCCTTGCCAGCCTGCATGAGACTAGTTGACACTGCCTTGGTCAACCTCGATGCAGCAATGGTCACAGCAGCGAATGAAAGTAAACAAGGAACCAACTCACACATTCCTCTACTGATTTCTTCCCAGCAATTCTCAGAAGATCTAGCTGCCACTTCTCCACATACAAATACAGATGGTGCATAAAATGCTCCAAATTACCTTGCAAAGTATTTGGCTGTATCAATCTGTTCCACCTGCAAAGCCATTTGGATCGCAAGGTCCAGCTCTTGCACCTCCTGCCTTGTTCCCCATACCGACTTGATCCAGACGCCAGGCACAGATTTTGTTTCCTTGAGGTGCCCTGCACATAAATAACAGAACATTTCATGCTTTGATAGTCAATAATGGGAGAAAACACACCTACACCAGGCATCGTGCCCAGTAAAGACCTGACCCACACCTGAACAAACTTGAGGTTCCCAATTGACACTGCCCATTTTCTATCAGATCATCCACTACCACAGCAAACTGTCCACGGGACCATCCATGACCCAAGCAGAACAGCAATATGCAATGAAAAGAAGTCTCAATGCTTCCAGTACCCTGCAGCCTTTCCCAGTCATACAAAAAACACCATACCACAACAGCAGACACGCCATGCAACAGGTATCCAGTGCATGCAGCCAAGCACCTTCTGGTCCACCTGGCATTTTCTGCACCACACCCGCCACTGTCACCGTGGCTGCCCTCGCCTGCACAGTAACACTGTCTTCCCCTGGATGCCCTTGCTTCTCTGACAGCACCGTCGACGGAGACAGGCTTCTGGACGCGGTACCTGCAACTGACCCTGGAAGTCCTGTAGCCAATGCAGGGCCACCCCCAGCCGTCGCCAGTGACCCAGAAGCGCCCAATGACCCAGAAGCCCCTAATAAATTCTCCTTATCAAGCAAAGAACTGCCATCCCCTTCCAAGGTCGGCTCCGGCGTGCTATCTAAGTCATCCCTCTTGTTGAAGGAAAACACACCCTGGATCCACCTCCACTGCGAGTTTGGGTTGGTAGTCTGTGTTGTTTCAGCGCTGCCACGCTGCTGCAAGTCTGCCATATCATGGCCCATCAGTTCACGGCCACTGGATGAAGGTGAGACAGTCTTCGGAGGATTGGCAATCTCTTGGATTGAGTCCATGGCCCCTCCTGGATATCCATCAACAAAAGAGTCAACTGCAGACCAACGGTTCGTCGCACATTCAGGGAGTTCTTTTCATCCCAGTAGTTTCTGGAGCCAGCGGCTCTCCTCTTGCCAGCTATTCTACTCACAGCAATGCAGTGAGATGAGTACACAAGCAGCTTCTGCAGCATGAAGGCACCAATATTGAAGGGCCTGCCACCAGTACAGCATCCCTCTGCCCAATAACAAGGAAAGAAAAGATTCCAGTCTGCTGCCAAACATGCCCTGGAACCAAAGCAACAGAACTTGCTCCACCCCTGCTGCAGATGGCGGGACATTTGACAGCACTTTGAGGGAGTGCCAGAGCATCCAAACAGTTACCAGAGCATCAAATGGCAGCTCAACCTGTGGCTCCACAGTCTGGTTCAGCTGCCAGCAACTATCAAACAGGAAAGCATTGAAGAGCATTGAAGAACATTGAAAATACTTGGTAATTGTACAGGCAGATCGCAAACATTGTTGAGATCTTGCAATGTGGGAATCAAATGAAGGGAGCATCCTTGCAAGTGCCCCAAATCATCGCCTTCACACAGAACGACACAGTGGGGTTGCTGACCAGCATTGCACACCAACGAAGACTCCTCAGCACAGCAGCCTACCAGTTGACTGCTCGCAACGCCCATTCAAGCCCCGTGGCGGTCGGTAAGCACCACGGACAGTCATTTCTACAAGACAGCAGCACAGATTGCGAATTAGTGTGATGGCAAGGGGTGGAAAGCGATCACACAGAAAAGGTAATATCCCCACAAAATACAAGAACCCCATTGTTCCCCAACTTTCTGCACTGTTTTGGCCTACTGCAGTGTTCCTGCAACTGCATTCTTCAACTGATTGAGACTTCTCAAAGCACTCTTAACTATTTTGATGGCGAGCGTCAGCTCTCCCTCTCAACAGCAACTGCCAAATGAGCATGGCGTTCTGCAAACATGGCAGATTGGAAATCCCAACGGTGTCTATCCTGTTATCTGCCACCAGGGGCGTTGGATTGCCTACTGTCTAGCACGCTGGACAAAGCACAGCTGCATTGTCAGATGTAAATTGGGGGTCATACCGTCAACAGGGCCATCACCGTCCGCGCTATGTGTTGAGCTTGCAGTCCTCCCACGTAGCAACGGCTCTTGAGACTCATAGGCTGCGCAAATCACACACCCAGTGACATGCACTCCACACACAGCATGGCAGTTCCAACCTTAGCCAAGCCAATGCCTGCCGGATGGTTAGAGCCCCAAGTATCCCAGGTATAAAGGTCACCCAAATCGCTGCTGTTATTGAAAATATCCGGCATGTTGAGGCAAGGAATTTACACAACATGCCAGCCTGCATCTTGCACAGCTACAGATTTCGTGCAACTCCACACTCAGCCGCACTCATCAAGGGCTGTTGCAATGCAACAGCAGCAGTGTGTGCACTATCTGGAGTGTGTGTACTCCTTCACGTCTGAAATGGAAACCAATCCCCTAGCATGGCACCAGATCTGCTCCCTCAACCTCTGTCAACAAGTATGACAGTATGTGACAGAATGCATTCAATTGGTCTAACTTGTGGAAGCCTTTTCTGGCTGTTTTTGGTGTGGGTGGGTGGTCTGTTGGTGGGTCGCTTGAACCCTCAACTAGAGGTGATGAAAGTGAATTATCCCCACAAGAAGATCCAAAATAAGGCAGTCCCACCTGCCACGATCATATAACACATTATGTTTGAAGCAGAGCCACGGTGTCAACACAATAAATACAACCCGCTTGATCATCACTCCTGATCACAGCAATACCCTGCCCAGCTGGCTGGCTGTCTTGTGAGGTGGGCGACATCAGCAAGAAACTAGCAACATGGATGGATGTGCCTAAAAGCGCACTGCACTCACTTGGTGGCAAAGGTTTTTCTGCGTTCTCATGAAGACCACGTGGTGCATCTCTTGGCTCTCCACGGCCAGATGGTCCTGCCACACAACAGCAAACTTGCTATCGCACTGCCATACCACAATTTTGACAAATGCAGCCAGCTGAGACATACGCGTCAAAACGACCAATACCACCAGCACATCCACGAGTGCACGGAGCCTGTCATGAAACCGTGTCAGCCACTTCCGATCAAATTTCTTTGAAATTTGCATGGCAAGCAACATCACCTACAAAGAGCACTGGCACAAGGCATGTACCCCAGGACGCTACTTACTATTCTCCGCCTGTTGGAATGCCTGTTCTCCAGGGAATACTCCCCTGACGGAAAGCTCTGCCACACCAGAAAGACAACCGGTTCACCAACACATGCAAAGACAAGGGTGGGGTGGGGGTGGGGGCGTACAAGGACCCCATCAGGTGTGGAGTGTTGCTGCATCATCACATGGTGAAGTATCAATCACCCTTCACTGTTTGCTAAAGTGTGGGCAAGTGTTGGCACAGATACTTCTGGAATGAGCAAGATGCACCCTCCTATGCAGCAGAGTTATCCCCATTAGTGGTGTTGCATTTGGCAGACACCAGGGACACGTGGGTCACGTCGCACCCCACTCTATTGACCACTCACGTTCTGGATCCATGGCAGCTCCCCTGAATGCTCCTCGTATAGACAGCTCGGCTGCAGCAAGCCAGCAGGACAATAGTTCTCACACAAGTCCCAAACGTCGATCAATGAGCAACATTTACCAAGACCGGGAACTAGCCCCTGCCATGCTGCAAAAAGGCTTTCCAGGATCTTTGGAGGCAGCACATGCTGCTGCCTCTCCCAGAGGTCGCCGTGAGCGGCCACCATGTCCCCAGCAACAACAGAAATACCAATAACAACGCAGGACTACCTCGACGGCCTTGACAGAAAGAGCCACGATCAGCGATACAATCCTTGCTATATCACCTACCGTCCACTTCCGCCCCTCTGTTCAAACAGCGCTGGCGTTCGCGAGGTGAAGCGTCCGCGGGGTCCAAGCACTGAACACAACCTGCAGCGACGACAGTGCACGCCGGTTGGTGCCCCCCACCGCCTGCAGCACCTGAAACACGATGGCCAGGGAGGAGGCAAGTCCCGCCGCATACTTGCACAGGTGGACATGAACCGCGCGATTGTGCCACTGCCCATGTGCAGCTTCAACAATCAGGCAATGCGCGCGTCCAAGTCCCTTTGGCGCAGTCCCGCAGCGGCCGCTGTCCGCTCTGAGTCTATTGCCAGGCCGAGATGCTTCCCATGCACCGACTGCCAGCGACCACTGGCCATACGTACAAAGGCACGCACCGGGTGTGCACCAGCCGAGCGCAGGGAGGGGGGAACCGCAGCGCCCGGCGTTTCTGGGCGCTCGCGTCCGACAGCGTGGCCAGAACGTCACTTCACACGTCCAGAGCATCCAAAACCCCACGGCGCCGCTGCACACATATTGGCGTCAGCGAGCCCCGGCAGGCGCCTTCGCCCAGCGGTGTGGCATCTTGACCGCAAGCGCCGCAGCAGCCCTATCGACTGGCCCATGGGCCCGCAAGCGTGGCCGCAAAGGCAAAACTTGTGGCGGACGTCGTGCACATTCGCGTGGCGCTCTCACTGGTGTGACAAGGGACCATCGACGGCCTCCGCCTCAGGAAGGTCGCCGCGGGCAACGCCAATACCCGCCCCTCAGCGAACGCAATCCACTCAGCTCGTGCGCAGCCGCTCTCGGGACAACCGCTGCCTGACAGCTGGACCTGTGCCGTCAGCACTGCCCTGCCTCTGTCGTGGACCCAATCTATCGCGGGCAGCGGGCCAATCCCCGGGACGACCCTGATTTCTCCGGCCCCCACGAAATACCAGGCAGAGAGCTAGATCGGGGACGCCGGGCGAAGAGAATCTCTTGGCCAAGCTGTGGCATTGCAGACAAGGCGCACAGTCACAAGCTCGCGCCTGATGCCCTCGCTACCTCACTGCGCAAGTTCACGGCGGCCTGGGCGCGAGGCTGCGCGGGCCAGGAACGGGGGGGGTCGCCCGGAGACACTCGCCTTGGACGCCTTTGGGACACGCTGCGACTGCGGCAGGCACTGCAGCCCGCTCGCTAGCTTGGGCAGCCCTGCTGAAAGACCAGTGCCCTAGTAGACGGCGCCCCTTGCCTCGGCACAGCTGAACTTGCACTTGATCTGACAAATCAGAAGGATGTGTAGAAAGAGAATGGAACCCCGCGGGGCGCCCTTGGCCGCGTGTTCTTCTGGTTTGGGGTGACTAGAGTGAACGCCCAGTGATTTGTCGCCCGAAGAGAACTCGACACGCAACCGTACTGCCCTCTTCAGGAGATGTATATCATGGCTCTGGCCTCTGACTGACATTTTGGGTCGTTCTCCTCCAATTCCAAATGTTTGGTGGGCACCAGGCGCAACCCGATCCCTGGCTTGTGGACTCCCCGGGCCGTTACAACGTCATGCATTGCGTTGACGCCGGATTCTTTAGAATCAGGCGTGACGCGCGAGGGCCTTTGTGAATCTGAACGCGGCACGGGTGGAAACAGGTAACGAAGACCAGCAGTTCTCCAACCGGTCTACCCTGGCCTGCGCTTCGCAACTGGTCACAGGAAACCTGGAGGTGGAATTCCGCTGTGCAAACTTTTGGGGTGCACTTGAAAGGGCTCCGTGATATTCGTGGTCCAGGTGTGAGGACATCCCCACACGTTGCTCTTGAACCAGCCACCCCAGCTCAGCGTGAACCTTCACAACTGCCGCAATCCCTTTATGTCTAGAGTGCTTGCTGCCTCGGTCATGGTTACCCTTGTTGAGGACCCTTGCTCCCAGGAACCTGCCTTGGACATCCCCTTTGCCCCTGGATCTGTACGGTGGTGCAGTTACGGTTCACAGGACTTTCATACAGTTGTTAACTGCCACGTAGTTCGCGAACTGGATACCATGCCATCACTTCTTACAGCAATGCCCCACACATTTTCCTCAAGCCAGAAGCTGCGCTTGAAGTGGAGCCCAATAGAACTGAACCAGGACTGCTGCGGACTTATGTCGAAGGGCGTGCGGGCCCAGGATGCAGAGCTCAAACAGTTGGCTCCAAGGCAAAGTTGGCATTACTTTTGCGGAATCATCCCGCAGCTCACAAACTGGAGAGCGCTGTGCAAGCCTAAAGTCAACAGCAAAATAAAGGGACGGGCTCCTAGCACTCGATGTCAACAGCTGCTGTTCAAACAGCGTTATTTCGAACGCATATCCGAGCCCAAAGCTGCTACCAGTGCTTGAATGAAGATACCTGCTTAAACTGCAATTTGCAGCTCTGAATTGCTACTGATTTCAGCAGGCAGTTTGCTAATATTGAATCGCTGCCGTTGCTCTCGTTCTGGATAGCAGTTGCTTGTTCTCAACATTCCACAAGGGCCCCATATCCACTTCCAATGGAGGACGCCCACGGCAATAACTGTCCATTGCTGTGCGCGCCTCCATAGGTACATGCATAGGGGCCGTGCCATGGGCATGTGCAGAGCCGTGCTACCGTCCCTGCCTGCTCACGCACCTTCAGGCGCACTGCGCACTCCCGGACTCAGTTCTGAGTCGGATTCCGATTCGTCGTCCGTGTCGGAGAGGTGGGACGTCCGCGAAAGATCCTCCATTATGTGGGACCTCAGTCGAGCTGGCCCGCGACCAAATACGTCGTCTGGTACCTGAACCACCGCGGGATCCACCATGCCTTGCTTCACCCACCCCCCTGCCCTTGAGCACCGACACCCTCCGAGCCTTGGGGCCCCGGATGTGGTACTTTAGAAGTTTGGCGGGGGCAGAAAAGGATGTGCCGTCAAAAGGGCAAACCCGCGATATTGTGAGGCCTGCGTGGCGCCCAGTCGGAAGGCAGCGTTTGAGCAGCGCGGGGGGCTGTGAAGGGAGCGTCCCACTCGGGACAGGCAGCTGGCGGCGGACCGATGGCGTCCCGGCTTTCGTCGCCCCCTTCGTGCTCGGGCTCACGCCTGGCGAAAGGGCAATTCCAAAGGGATCTGGAAAGGATTGGAAACGGACATTCAAATGCACCTTCTCCGCGGGCACAGACAACGTTGGCCGACTCGCGCTAGCCGCTAAAACGGCAGTTCAATGGCTGTGTGCACTCTCCTGTATTCGACTGAAGCAGAGGGGATGTGTGTGTGGGTGGGGGGGGTGGGGGGGTGGGGGGGGGCTTTGTACGTCCACCTATTATACTGCGGCTGGAGCGGTATGTGCTTCGACAGGTCGCCGTGTGCACGCGACGTAAGGCCTGCCAGGGTCCGCTGGCGTCGCGCTGAATTCGCATCGGAAAGATGTGCATTTACACTTCGCAAGTTGGCCACTGGCTGCCGTGCAGCAGGCCAAGCACCGGCGCCCAGGCATCGGCCTCGGGCGCCCATTTAGACCCGCGAGGCCCCCGGTTCCACCACCTTCCCTTTCCCTTCACCACAGTCGCCCCAACTCTCACCCGCAGCTGCGCGCCGTGCCCCAACTCCCTCGCCCCATCCGACTTGGCGATAACCACCCGGCTCACCAAGCGGAGCGGCGGCCCCCAGCCCGCTGGACACAGCGCCAGCAACTTCAGGGGGAGGCGCCGTCACACAGCTGAGCCCAAACTCTGGAGGCCAGAAACGCGGCGTGCGCGGCAGGGCCTGGTCGGCTTCCCTTCCGTTCTTGCCGCGCTTTAAAATTTCTCAGCCTGCCTGACAGTCTCCCTGCGGCGAAAGGAGATTCAGTTCTGTCTGGTCGCCAATGCGCCAATGTACTGGACGTGCTGGGGGCTCGCGCGGAGGAACCAAATTTGTCTGGTCGCCGGCGCGCCAGTGTACTGGACGTACTGAAGGCTTGGGTGCAGCGGCCCGCAGCGCGAGTGTGGACGGGCCAACAGGCAGACCGTGTCGCCAGACATCGAGATACGGCGACCAAGCGCGACGCCAAAAGCCATGTTCAACGGGACGCGACGGCCGCCGGGGTGCCTGGGCTGCAAAATGATCGCGAGGCGGTTGAATCACCCAGGCCACCTGGGTATGTGTGTGCTGTCCTGACGCGCTCAGCGACGCGAGGCTGGCTGGCGTCCTGATGGCCTCTTGATGGGCACCGTCTGCCACAGCCGTTCGTAGCCCATTTGTTTGGGATTTGAAAATTCGGAGATATAGTAACATGCACAAACATTGTCAATTGTGGAATGCACAAAGTTGCACTGCGTCGCTCTGTGGTGCATTATAGCGGACATATCTGCCAACAATGTCACCAAACGCCCTTGTCCCTGGTCTTTTCGCATTGGCTGCCTGCAACCCATTGCGACTCGACCTTGAGCACTGGGTAGCCATGTCGTACTGCTGATGCTCTCCATGCAGCTTATAAGCTGCGGGCACGTGTAGCCACACTAAGTTTCCTTGCCAATCATCCGACGGGGCCACACGGCCATGATCGATCCCGCCTGTTGGCCATGGCAGAATGATACTTCCCCGCGATTATAGGGCAACTTTCAAATCTGCGAACCACGCATCGGCGAGACCCCACATCGTCGCCTACTAGTTGTGCACTGACACGAAATGAAATCTTTATGCTGTTCTACTGACAGTCGCTTAGAGGGAAAACAAATGCGAAAGTCACTCAGGTCACGAAATCCTTGACTTTTCTGCGCCTACCCAAGCCTGGACATCACCCACAGAAATGGTGGGGTTCCATTCCCACCTTATTCCATGGTGTTTTGACTGAAAGGGCCCCAAGGATCTTTTGTGCATCAGGGCAAAGCGACTGCATCGCTGCAGGCGGGCCGGTTTATGAAACAGCTAATTGTTATCAGTGGGTAGTCCGTGGACAGCCCAGGACGCTCAGCCGCGCACAGCCGCGCACATGCAAGAACCGACTGCATTGGCACCTGATGCCTCAACGTGTAAGAAGCTTTGCGCATGTATTCCATCTACATCTTGGTAATCGTCAGAACTGGTGACTGATTACTGGGAATGTGACTTCCTCATCTTGAGAACATTCGCAACAAAGACACCCGAGTAAAAGCCCCCACCGAACTGAAATATCCTACCCTCACAGAAGCAGCGATGCGGCACGTTCAACCGAGTTCAAAATTTCTCCCCAATAAAGATATCTTGGCGAAAAGCCCTGTCATGGCATACAGTGCACCCTGGTATTCAGAATTGCCAATCCGTCTATCAGAACGAGCCAATTGGCTTAGATTTCGGCAAATGCACCCGCTGCCAGAGATGTGCACAGTAGGTCCGTACCCACGGACTAATCATTCCGGCAGTTAACGCGGACGGAAGCTAAGCAATCGCCTTCTTACCGGGGTGTCGCGTCAAGGACGGACGCGGCTGAGCATGCTTCCTTTCATAATTTAAGTGACAGAAGGACACTCGCAGCGCACTGAACCAATTCGAAAAGAACTGAACTGATTGTAAACACCCAAAATCTGTCATCTGAGGCGAGCCCTATGGTAGCTGCATTTGGGATGCAAGAATCTCTATCGCCTGCCAGTGTTTTCCTTGATCCGTTAGGCTCAACTGCGTACGAATCACATGAACTCTTCGGGGCGCCTTCTCGTGTGAATATTTGAGTGGATTAGGGCCCACAGTACTTCTCAGTCCAGCATCCGTGCAGCCCTGAAGAGCACAGGCATTTCAGCACACTGTGCCCTGAAGCTTTCGAGCTGCGGCAGCATGAATTGGCACGGAAACACTATGGCCTGGGCCGGGCGGTCTGTGGACAGCACCAGCTTCAGAAGTGGGTGCATTTTGCTGGTAATTTCAACGACGGTCACCCAACATCACAACGCGAAATGCACCTCACGAAACGCGTTACACATGAGGATTGCAGTGGACACTTTGTCTCTCATTGCACCTGCGGCATACGACGAGGCATGGTATTTCAACCGGACTATTTTACGCGAGAGACCGGAACATGTCGCTCTGGCGCAGAGATCACAAAGAATCACTGAAGGGAGCCAGTACCATGCGGAATGCTGTCCTGCAGAGGCAGAACTGCCACTGGGCCATTTTCGATCTGAAGAGCGTCTAGGATGACCAGCTCGCTCCTCTGTTTTTCAGCGTCATAGCAGAGTGCCACCAGCCAGCCGTCGTCCTCGGCAATATCTGTTGACCCTGCAGGTGGTCCTTGGGCCTTGCCCCGTGGCACAAAAGCTGGCTCCGCGGTGTAATAGCGAAAGCCTCGGCTCCATAGAGTCGCAGTTCCAGTTTCCGTATCCACCTGAGCCACAGACCCAGGCCGCGCTCGGATTGAAGTATTTTGGTGGGTTTGCATCTGACGGTAGCGGGAATGATGATGGGGTAAATTGCGATCCACTGTCGTGGTGCGGGCCCTTCCCACGCCGTACGGCGAGCGAATGTGTCCATTGCTCTAATCCTCCTTCATTATGTGTAACAGTTTGTATACAAACACGTGCTTGCAGAGTGCCATAGGGTGGAGTATTGGGTGCCAGAGAGCAGGGACAGAGGGCATGAGGAATGGGCGTGCGAGCTTCGTCATTACTTGCCTAACAGCTTTATTCGATGTTGCGACATTTGTGTGTAAAAGTGGGCAGCCGTTGTGTTTAGATTTCAATTTCAGCTTCGCTTCAGGACGCGATTGCAACTGAAACAGCCACTGCGTGGCAATGTTCCATGATCGCTTGCAAGGGGCGCAGTCGTGTTCACCGGCGTCGGGCGAGTGTTTTCCATGGAATTCAAAATTCAATTTGCAGCAGAAAACTTTAACGGATTTCACACCGTTCGTGAATTGCAAATGTACGGGGATGTCTTCCCGTATCGCGCGGATGCACGCGAATTCGTTGACCTCAAATAAAATGCGAATCAAAAGGATATGCCCTATCGCCTCCTGGAATCAATGCCTGTCCGCGGCAGCCAGGTGTACCTTGGCGATTGCCTGAGGTGGTCGATTGAAATGGGGATGGAGCGCCGCCGCTGTGTACACATATCGGTGGGGTCTGCCTGTTACCGAAGGGTTTATGCGCGGGAACTCCATCGCCCTGGGGCTGTACGCGGTTGCGCTTCCGTGGCCATCATCGAGTCCCAGAGTGATCCGATGCAGTCTGTTCGTGCACAGGCCAAGGCAAGGCGAAATGTCACATCACACCCTCCATTGGTAGCTCTTGTAAAACAGGCAAATTCATGCAACCAAGCTCGGTATGCGCAGCAAGCGAAGGCTCCATTGCCAAATCGCGCCGCGCAGCGGAGCAGCAAAAGAAGGGCGCTGAAGAAGAAATAAAGATCGAAATTGCAATCCACGCTGAAAGGAAATGCAAATTTCAAGGCGTGCATTACGACGCACTTCCTACATAAAACGCGAATGTGGTGTCAATGAAAACACTGTGGAAAGGCAGAAATGCTCCCGAATTCATAACATGAATGTCATATATCTGGTGCGGAATCGGCGAATGTCCTACCTTCCAATGGGCGTTTGATCGGGGTCGATGTCCACGTACTTTTTCCCCGGTTCCAGCAAGAACCCAAAATCAGGGAAGCGCGGATAGCTGAGTGCATCCAATACGATGGAGTTTTCATCTTCTGACTCAAAGCCGTTTGCAAAGTGATATATGAATGAAGAAGGAGTCACCTGGGAAGCACAACATCGTCTCTTTTGTTGCGGATCTTGGATCCAGCGCAGAACTAGCGTCAGATCTGCACATTGCTGGGCACCACTGACGAACGCCATGGGCTCTTGTGCCACATTGATCACAGCTGGAACGTCTCAGAAAAGAGCGGAGTCACAGTTCGCTTGAGTGATGCCCATGTGGCTCCGCAACACTGACCTGCCTTTCAACATGCAAATTAACTCAGGGGTCTCACCTCTATGACCTGGGCGCTCTTCGGCGATACAGGACGGGGAATAGCATGAATCTGAAGGAAAACAGCACGGCAAAAAATCAAAGATGTGAATGGCGAAATTAAAATAGGTATAAATGCGCAACTTATTCGTTTTGCAGCACCGAGGCGGTGTTTCTGGTGACACTGGTGAAAACTGGATTCGAATCACGGTTGAGATACCGCGATTTGATACATGTATCACACGATTCAAAATGCAAATACGCGAAGAATGAGCAACGCGTTGCCCTTGCCATTGATTCCTAGCCAGATGGTTACTGGGCAAAGTGCTTTGCCATTTTCTACAAATTTGTCTCTTGCGAATATGTTTTGGGTTCGAAACAGTTCGCAGGCATGAGAGCGCAAACCAGTATTACACCTGGCGATAATGTGCATTTCAGGTATATGATGCAAAATGCAATGGAAAGGCTGCAAACTCCCTAGTCCGCCTCGAGAAAAGAGCGCAATGCATTTAGCAGTAGCTCTCAACTGCTCGAAATGCAAGTTACGCTGAAGATAGGACGTGAAAAACTCGTTCACCTCAGCTGGCCAGCAGCAGTGAACTGAAGCAAACGCATGAATAAAATTCGAAGACGGTCGGGCGTACGTGCGCTCGAAGAAAGATGTTTGCAAATGAGCACCATTCATTCTTCGTACGATTTTGCTTCCTAGTACGTCGAAACACTCCGAAGTACTTGAAATTCAATACATCGCATCAGCTGATCAACGTGTGTGATGCAGTTTGAAGAAATCCCCGAAGAATCAGAGCTGTTGGACTGAATGCAGTGTCCTCCAAGTGCCCTGCAGCGTGGCTCGTACAAATACATCGCCTCAAGCTGTCACTCATTCCTGAATAATGCCGGCTACCTCAACCACCGCACCTTAAGTTGCCGAAATGGCTGCCACTTCACGCAATGAATCGCGCATTTCTGGCCAGACGCGTATCCGGCAATGTCGAAACTGACGGGGTTCTGCAGCACCAGGAAGCTCATCATCATGTGGGCTCTGTGCTAACTAACTTCCACACGACCTTCCGATGCGTTCACGCAGAGTGCAAGTATACTCCCAGATGCGCACGACTGCATTGGGTGTATCCAAATGCGACGAATGCAGTAGTAAACACTGGTAGAAAACAGCATGTCTGCGATGCCAACTGCGATGCTATTTTGACACAAAATGATGCCGTCACAGTGATTGCGATGGCATAAAAGTGGCTGTGATGGCATCAATTTGTGTCGAATGGCATCGCAATTAGCATCGCAGACAGGCTGTTTTCTACTGGTGAAAATTGTAGGTACATCTTGCTCAGAACGTTTTCAAGTAAACGGGGCAGATACTGGCAGTGGCTTGGGTATTGCCATTCGAAGGGAATGCATGCGTGATGTCAATATTGCACAAGCCAACGGTTTTCGACATGCCCCGCGCACTTTCATGGCACTCGAACTTCAATTCACCTCCCAACACGATCTCAGAGGACTTTGTGCCTGTGTGACCCCCAGCGTGTCGCAGTGCACTTGCAGTGATCTCGTCTGTCACCTGGGGAATGACGTAGTAGTTTTTGGTGAGGGCGAAATCGTGAATGAAGGCGTAGCCTTCAACATCGTATTCTGTTTCGCTGATCACCGTAAAGCGATCGTCAAACTCGTAGAACTTCAGCTTGGTTATCAAGCCGTGCTTGGGCGACAACTGCAGCACATCACAGCGAGATGGTGCGCGCCTGTCAGTTCAACCAACCTGTTGCGTTGAGTTTGTGCATCAGGCAGACCCAGATACTGGAATCCAGTAGCGTACATTCACTTGCCCGATGCCAAACATGCAACTGGATCTCGAGCTCAGCCTTACCGGAACTGCAATTAGCCCATGCATATTGTGTTAATATCGCCGTCGCATACCTGCAGCCTGTAGCTGTATGTCACCATTCGGTTATTTTCAGGGTCCTTGCGCGAGTGACCCGATACAGCATCTCCCCCCAATCGTATCCGGATGCCAGGAGGTCCACTTCTGAGGATCGCGAGTGCTTTCCCTGAAGGGACGAGAGAGGGCTTCAGCCTTGATGCATTCATGCCAACAAATTTCATCATCTCCCAAAATGACCCCAAACATTCCGAAAGCAACGGGATGCAGTTAGGTGCATGTCACGTACATGTGTCCGCCAATCCTACAACTTCAACCTCCAGGGTGATTTACTATGTTAACAATAGCGTCGAGTCTGCGGCGAAGCACACAAAGGGGACATGACGCGTTGATGATAACCATTATCGTCTGTTCAGAGAACTGGCTTTCCCATATCAGAAGAGCCTCAGATAATGCATTCCGTGGATCCCTCTCCGACTTCACCGTATCCTCGCAGGAAGGAATCCACCAGCTGATTATGTTTTCCGACTTTCTCATCTGATGGAAACCAAACACATATATGTGGCTCACCAAGAGCGTTGTTGGCGAGGTTTCCGAGCCCAGAGTCGAACGGCTGGCCCACGTCAAAAGTGCCTTTCATTTCTTCCACGCCTTTTGTCTCGAGATTGCGAGGGTCAAGCAAGTATGGTTGCCCTGACTAACACCAATTAACGCTTAGCCTCACTATACTCCCTGAGACTATGCGTGTGTGAGCAGAGCAACACATGCGCCTTCGACAGTGGCACATGAACTTTTGGCCGCCACGTCTCAGAAAAACACGGATGTCTACGCATTGCTCATGACAATGCCGGGATTTATTGATTGAAAGCAGTGATCTGAGGACCACACTGACCTCTGTACCTCGTAAAGCGCCCAGCATCGGTTTCCCCAGTGTAGGACGTTCGTGTTTGCACTGTTCTTCACGTACAGGTCAAGGAGGCTCAAACCGACACTGTCGGGAACTGTTCCGAAAGCTCCTTTGAAAAGGCGCCTTCCATGTTCTTTCTCTTGCAGGAACCTGCACATTCGCGTCAGAGAATAAGGGTGTCAAGCCCTTAAACCGCCGTATATACGGAATTTGCGTCAGACGCGCTGCTGAATCGCTGGTGAGCTCACTCATTTGTTCTGACGTATTTGGATCGGAAAAAGGCCTTGCCGTCGTGGATGGCGATGCTGGCAACCAGGCCATCGCTGTCGAAGGGGTGTATGACCCCCTCCCCCGCTTTAGTCCAGCTCCCAGGTCCATTCCTGAGGCATGAAAGGACAGACAGTTGGAGCCACAAGAAGCAGTTCAAGGTATGCAGCGACGCGAGGTGTACATTGGGCGTCGCCAATCAACAAAGGAGCAAATTATGACAATGATGTTGTTTATCCAGCCAAGATTTCGATTAGCATGCTATATCAAAGGACATACTTCCCTGATGTTTGCAGATGTATGTGCTTTCTGCACAGATGGTGACCTGATGTGGCTTGGGCATGAAGCTGGATGAGTTCCCCGTTCATGTGTGGAGGGCTGGTATGAAATTGCATGGAGTGGGGCCTCGCTCACGAACTTCGCTAGGTAAGCGGATCTATTTGATTTCAAATCAAATATGTCAAATTGACATATGAACTACATTAAATAGGGCGGAAGGCATATACCAAATGCTGCGTCGAAGGTTTTAAGTTAGCATCAAGAGCCATTCCAGATGAAAATCCTAACTGCTTTTGAATGCGGTTACCTGAGAAAAGCGTCGCTCGAAGACATGGCCGTGGTGGCAAATCTTATTGGACCTTTTATCTTTGCTGATGACTACGCAGGTAAACATCTATCCAGTTCCTTCAGAAATCGTCGCGTTAGCATTCCCTTAAAATCGTCTCCACTTTGCATCATTGGGCCCCACTGCGGAAAAGCACGGTGACTCAACCGCCTTTGGGCAGGATCGTACTGGAACTTGCACGCTGGATTATTTCGAAGTACCTGAAATACGTCCCGGACAGCTCCTCGGGCAGCTGGCCTTCGGCTTTCATCCAGTAACCGCTCGGTACCTCTTCCGCCCTTTCGTACGCCGAAAACCAGTCCCTGCGCCAAATTGACGGCAGGATCTCAAAATTGGAGGAAACGACGAATGCAAATAACAGCCAGCCTTGCCGATACGTCGCAACCGAACGCTTGAGTCTCTCGCACGTTTTCAGGCATCATCCCGATGCGCGCAGACGCACATCGCCACTGACCAACCAGCATACACACAGATCGTATCTTCTGGCACTCAGCGGGACGTCTGCGCCCCGGTCAGACCCTTTGCCTCTGACGTCACGAACACTGGCCCGCGGCCCAGCTGGAGAACCAGAAACCCTACCGCCGGTCCCAATCCTCCACTGCCAAGCTCTCGTCCGCCTCCTTGCCAGCCACGCTGCTTTGAGCCCCCTCCTCGACGTTGGCCAACCGCTGCCTCCCGGAGCTCCCACTGCCCCCCTCACGGGTCCCAATAAAACCCAATCCCTTGGTCAGCCCTTTTCCCAACCGCTCAGCAAAACCATCGGTCGACTGCGTTGCGACCAAAACGCGACGAAAGCGCCGCCGGGGTTTTCCAAACCGGCCGCTCTGATCCAGCATCCGTCCACGCAGCTGACCCGCGTGTCTGTCCTTTGTCGCGAGCTTGACTTTTGTTGACCAAAGTCCTCCTGGCGCAAGCCGTTGCCGGCTGCTCCACCGGGGCTCGACATGCTCACACATGTCTGCCCCACTGCGCTGCTGATGTGCTGGAGCCCCACAAGTCCCACGGGCCCCACGGACGGCGTCGGCGTTAGTCAGCACAAAAGAAAGATATGATTGGAGCGTGCCAGCCGCACTGAGTCAGGATGACAGCCGAGGCTTGCGTGCGGCCGAGGCATGCAGACGCAAGCTCTGCCCCCGTTCCTGATCGAACGCGTGGCCAGTCGATATGCGCGTCTGTCGCAAGTTCAGGTGCGAAGGGGTTCAATGGACGTCTGTTGTTCGCAGTCTCGCCCAAGGAACCAAACTACGATTGCGCAAAACTCACCGTACGTAGCTGTGTGCACATGTGGCATGTATTGCGCATCCGATACGTATCCAACCCGATAGCCAGCCGGCAGTGAAAATTGAGAAGTAGCAAGGGTGCCCAGGTTTGCTTGTGGCGACCATTTTGCCTTGACATGTACCACCAATTTATTGATTGAACACAGATACGCGTGTAATGTGGTGTAACCTTTGCTATCAACAGGTGTTTCTGATCATATCAACGTGGACATTGGGCACCGATGCGCGAGGAACAGGGACCATTGCAGCATTTGTCATCACACTCTGACAAATGGATGGACATATATTCTTCCCCTTCGGCTGTTTGGAGTATCTTTGCCTCCTCTGCTGCCGGAACAGTGACCGCTATTCATGGTGCGCGGTGGGAAGACAGGAACAGTGTTCTCTTGGAACACATTTCGGTGTAGTGAACACCACCCAGCATCGCTCCATACGTTCCACAGCAGGGCCTTGTCAGGTCTTCTCACAACGTAGCAGCCGATTGAACGCCAACGCAAGTAGGCTATTGTCAGCTGCCCATTCATTGGCACGGATGCATTCACAATCTTGGGTGCTCAATACTAAAATTCAGTCCAGGATTGCTTCTTCACTGTCGGTCTTCCCACGAGTGTGTCGCCACACGACAAGAGGCTTACACTGAATAGAATGTGAATGTGTCCGTCGTTTCTTAAAGCATCCAATCCGGGGTTTCAACCATCAGGGTGGCATCGTTTGGCTAGCACCCTACACTAATATTCGGCTATGAATCACTGAGCCAATGTCAAGCCACGTACTCAACTCCTTCTCCACCCCACTTCCTCTCGAGGGCGGGATGGAAAAGGTAGTGCGTGGATCGAGGAAGTTGAATAGCCACCCCTCCCCAATCTCTCCACAACCACATCCCTTCTTATGACCCTTCTAGAACGCCATGGACTTTTGCTGTAGTGAGACGGAAAACAAGGGGCATTGCCAGAAAATAAACACACCAAAGTGGCTTCCCATCAAAACCACCGGAACAGCCCACCCATTGTCGCCTTTGGCAGCAACCAGTCAACAAGTAGTTGATTTCACACATTCGATTTTCTCCCAGTGGGACTCCCCACCGAGCTTGCTTCGCAGTATGAACTTCTTACATGCAAGGCTTGGGAGTGCCTTACGGTAAATCCGAACCCCTGATTCAGGGCCCAGCTGTTGTGTTTGAGGCTATCTATTTTGCAACTGCCTTTCCACAAGTGGCTGTTGTTGATGCCTGCAAGTTCAGCTGGCCTTGGGAGTGCAGCCCCCTTTGCGCTCGTCGACCATACATACAGCTTGGGCTGGAGGCCTCTCTGCGACGACAGAAATCGCAACACTGCTTCCCTGGAGTTGCAAGCGAGCGGCTTGCTCTGTCTCCCCATTTGGTCCCTCCACTGTGGTGTCGATGCTTTGCGCACAGTTTGCCGCAGCTTTAAATCACCACCAAAATTGCCACAATATTCCTTTGTTTTCTTAAGACCTCTGGCCAAAAAGGTGAGAATGCGAGAAGAGCCGACAGGCCTAGGCGCAGGTGAGGAAGTCCAATCTAAAGCTGGGCCCATGCAATTCCTAAACCGGGGTATCAGTGCACTGGATGACCGTGCTTCTGAGCAAAAAGTGTTCGATCGTCTGGTGGCCAGGTGGGCACCAATCGTAGTGGTTGACTGATACCACATGTTATTCACACGAGCTGCAACCCATACTCCACCTGGCCCAGCTACGCCGCTGCATCTAAATGGCCTCGTTGTTCCAGAGGCGCTGACTGTGCCCAGGTGAGGGGCTCGCAGCATCTGCTGTCAAGGCGCGTTCGAGCATGAGGTGACCACAGCCAACTGAAGACAATAGTCAAAAATGTTGTGCATTTGTTGTGATGACCAGCTGAGCAAGTTTTTAGAAGAAATCCATGAAGCCGCGATGATGCCGTGATCAACGTTATCCCAGACACTGCAGTGCAGTGTAGTGCGCCCCATCGGATGCAAGACGCAGCCCTGGACGGGCTGCGCTCTGTTATCCCTGTTTCCACACATCCTGCAACGAGCCTGCCTATTGGTACACAAGATCGTGAAGTATGTATTCGTTCAGCTGCATAGCAGACATGTCAGACAATTGTCAGATGCAGCCGTAAGCTATCAGTTGTGCGATCTGATAGGTCGAACATCCCTGTGTAAAAGTTCCCCTTCAAAGCGCCAACTTAAGAGGCGACAGCTCAGGCAATTCGCTGCCACTACCATAAAAATCCCTTCAGTAAGCATCTACAGCTCTGATGAGCTGCTCGTGGCTGATGCTGCTACATGCCAGCGTTGTACAATCCCATGTTGTCTACTGGCCAGCGGCATCTTAAGAAAGCACTGACAAATGCATCCGCACTTCACTGTGCCAGTGCAACCTCCAACTTAGCAACTGAAAGCAACTGGATTGCCAAAATTTTCCTGGGCACTGCTGATCCCACAAGCCCAGCCCATCACCTTGATACACCTTTGTTTGTCGCTTTAGTATTCAATACTGCATCCTTGCCACCTCCAAAGCAGCACCAGGCAAAGGGATGCAAGGCACATCCGTCCACATGCTTCAAATTCGCTTGTGGCTGTGTGTGTGACAGGTTGTCTAGATCGAAGGCACCGAACACCCGCAGACTGTCCTTAGAATGCTTGTTTGTAAGGTATTTCCTAAAACTCACCTGAATGAACTCAAGGGAACACAAAGAGCGGACAGCAGATGGGCCAGTATCCTGTCCCAGCAAATTGCAGTTCGTGCACAATGCAAGTGTTCGAGGAAGTGTCAGAGGCAAAAGTTTCCAGAAAAGACAGGGTTCAATAGGGTGTGACAGAGGTGGTGGTGATTGGGACCCCATGCAAAAGCCCTGCAGCCGAGCAGTGGGATGCTGAGATGGTCCCAAGGGAAATTTTGGGGCACTGCGGAGCACTTTCCACATCACCCATGTAGCAGGATGGCAACTGGTCATCGACCAGCAGCAGGCTGAAGATCTGCACAATGGAGGGCACAGCCTATCTCTGACTGCCCATTACTATCCTTCCAGGCACGCAAGTACACAACGACCGCCACATCATTGCTTGCTGCTGGAGCGCACTCCAACCCACTTCGATGCCACTCCACCTGCCTGCACAATGGCTGCATACAGCGACCCTCTTGCCTCGTCCATCAGGGAAGGCACGCTCAGCATGCCCTGCGCACAATTCGAACACAACTCCATGCTTTCATGTGTACACCCACATCATGGCAGACCAGCACCTTGTGGAAACAGATGTCACGTCGTTTGCCAGATTGAAACTGTGCATGGGCGAGATTGTGATGGTACCTTTAGTCGCCTGTCAAGGAACGTCCATGTGTTTGCAAAGCCAGGTGAGAAGTCTGTCAGCATGTACAGCTCAGTGGCCACATATATGGCACTCAGCGCCGTCCTCTTGTGGTACCAAGCCATGTCCATCGAGCGGTCACCACACAAGTGCCAGCACTGATCCACAAATGCTGCCAGGCTTGTGAAAGCTGTGGGAGCGTGCTTTGGCAGTGCCTGGAGTCTCAACGCCTGGGGCAAGCTGCCTGCAGACACAGAAGTACAGCAGATCAGGCTTAAAAGTGTGCAGGTCATAGGCCCTGTCTATTGCAGCACCTTCCAACCTCTTCCATATGATAAGTGTACACTAAAGGTCCTGGTAAACCTTCTTGCTATGGGAGACAGGGATGGGGAAGAAAGCAGTTTTTCATCAACTGTGTGCTCGTGTGCCAACAGACTCCTACCACAAGTGCTGGAAAATCCCCTGTCAACCAATTTCTTTTCACCAAGGGGGCTTCAAGCCCAGGTGTGACTCACCTATGTATGGTATGTTCTTTTCCAGGCGGGTCCGCAGCATGAGCACAAGTGCTGCCCTTTGATCAAGGACTTGCAGGTCATGCGTCTGGCATTCCTTCAACGAATCAGTGTTTGCACCATCCACAAAATGCTGCAAAACAAACAAATCAAATGCAGTTGCCAGAGCTGCCTTGTCAATAACATGCAGGGTTTTGAGGCACCAAACTTCCACCATCGGATTCCAGCCCACCAACGGCAGCTTCTCTTCGGACACGGTCTGTTTATTCATAGCCTACTCATGATAGCACCACATCCTTTTCCAGATGTGCTTTGATTTTCTCCACAATAGCTTAAAGCCAGGAAAGGAGTCTAACAAAACGTGCCTCAGCAAGGTTGCCCAAAATGTCATTTCTTGTCAACACCTGTTCGCAGTCAGGATCACCCCCTCAACTGCCACCAGCAGTTGTACATTAACAGGACACAGCACAGTTGTTTTAACGATTAGATCCAGTTCAAACTGCAGAGAGTAGCTGTTTCAATGTCTTCACTTTCTGTGCCACCCAAATGTTTTGGCTTCTTCCCACAAAAGCTCATGTTTAGACTATTCCCTTCATCAAACGCATCAGCATATCCTGTGGCTGTTTGTGTCCAGGATTTCATTCTTGTGGCAGCTGACCAAGTTGTTTCGGAGCACAGCAGATCTAGGTTCATACAGCTCCCACTGTTTACCAGCACTGCAGCAGGTGCAGATGACCTGGGCAGTCGCAGTCACAACAGAATTTAGAAGTCCAAGAAGTCCAATCTTTACCTGAACCAGGCCTCCGGGCCCTTCAGATATCATACGCGCTGCAGCAGGAGACAGCTTTAGATCCCTTGCCCCCTCCTCCAGTGCTGCAACGGACCATCCATGCGCTTTCTGATACACAGGGAGCGCCGAAAACAACGTCAGATTCGGCCCCTCAACCCTCTGGAAGGACAGCCTCAGCAGCACAACCACGCAGTTCATCGTTGGCACGCACCACGTGTTTCATGGCTGCATTGAGCAGCGCCAGTCTGACAGAATCGACTTGGTGTGGGTCTGACTGGCCAGGCTCTCGCTCGGTCTGCTCCCTTGATCCCGAACTGCTTGATGCTTGATCTTGATCCTCATCCTTGTTTCCTGCCTGTTCGGGCGCACGATAGGAGGTCTCGGACCTGGCGCCGTGGCCAAGGGAGGAGGACCCACGACGCCTTTTGGGGGCTTTGGCGATGGGGCATCTTCCCCCTTGGATTAACGTCCCACCAGCCGCCCAGACAGAACAATCCGAAACGGCTTTCCGAAAGTGCCTCACGTGTTGCGGAAGCGCAGTCACGCTATTGGTGTCCCGTCCCTCCTTGGCTGAGCCCAACGACGGCCCGACCAGCCCCCAGCTACTGGGCACATTTCCGGACGTGCGTTCCGCCAAGGTCGCCACACTCGCGCGGGCGCTGCACAACAGACGGTGCGCCGTTCTTCGGCTTGGCAAGCGCATCGGTCTTGTTCCTGTGGAGCGCGATGCTCAGTCAATACAGGGCGTGGTGCTCCTCTTCAGCGTGCCAAGCCTCGCTATCCACAGCCGTATACATGCATGATGGACGCCAATGCATGTCGATGAACATTGATGTTGTTACGCAAGGCTCGGAGTGGGACTATATCGGAGGCAGGCACAGCCACGGGCTTGGGGACACAGCTGAGGGTACAGAGTTACAGATAGGTTACGGACAGGCATGTCCCTTTATAGTCATACAGCCATCTCTCAACGACGGACGAGTCATTGTCATATCATTCGCCCCCAACACACATAGAACGTCGCCCTCGACGTGTAATCACCTCAACCAAACGAACCAAGGGAACCAGGAAACTGGTAGAAACCATCATCAAGAAGTCATTCAAAACTTCAGACACTTGGCCAGCCGTCATGTGCGGGGGCCTTGAACACGAACACAAACCCATCACAAAGGAACATATCGAGAATCAGAGCATCAGCTCAAGAATCCATCAAACACTTGGCCAGCCGTCATGTGGGGCCTTGAACACGAACACGAAAACCGGTCTCAAAGAAACACATCAAGAGCCAGAGCATCGGCTCAAGAATCCATGGAAAGAAATCAGATTCGGAAAGGAACCATCAAACTCAAGAGCAACACGTCTTGGCGAACCTCGCCACCTCCATGGGGCATCTCAACAACTCGACCTAAGCTGACCCATCGGCGCTCGGTGCGCGCCCCCAACAACAGAGACAATGCTATGCCCAGTGCATTGGAATTGCCACGTGGGCCT